ATATGTTACCACATATATCACCAGATAGCACTTCTGTGATATGTTGTCACCAATGTCACCAGATAGCATTTGTATGTGATATTTTGTCACATATATCACAAGTAGTGCTTTTATTTGATATTTTATCATAAATGTCAACAGAACTTGTGTGTGTTAAGTTGTCACAAGTATCATCAGATAGCATTTGTATGTGATATGTTGACACATATATCACCGTATAGCACTTGTATGTGATATCATCAAATAGAATTTGTGTGTGATATGTTGCCACAAATATCACCAGATAGCACCTGTGTGATATGTTGTTCATGAAAGCACTTGTATATGATATGTTGCCCCATATATCACCAGATAGCACTTGTATGTGATATCATCAGATCATCAGATAGCATTTGTATGTTATATGTTGCCACATATATCACCAGATAGCACTTCTGTGATATGTTGTCACCAATGTCACCAGATAGCATTTGTATGTGATATTTTTCACATATATCACAAGTAGTGCTTTTATTTGATATTTTATCATAAATGTCAACAGAACTTGTGTGTGTTAAGTTGTCACAAGTATCATCAGATAGCATTTGTATGTGATATGTTGACATATATATCACCAGATAGCACTTGTGTGGTATGTTGTCACTAATATCACCAGATAGCATTTGTATGTGATATTATTAGATAGCATTTGTATGTAATATGTTGCCACATATATCACCAGATAGCACTTGTGTGGTATGTTGTCACTAATATCACCAGATAGCATTTGTATGTGATATGTTGCCACATATGTTACCATCTAGCGCTTTTATTTGATATTTTTTCATAAATGTCAGCAGAACTTGTGTGTGTTAAGTTGGCACAGGTATCATCAGATAGCATGTATGTGTGATATCGCCAGACAGCACTTGTATGTGATATGTTCTCATATATATCACAATGTAGCAGTTTTATGTGATAAGTCATCACAAATATCACATTGTAACACTTTTGTATGATATATTATCACAAATATCATCACAGATAGTACTTTTATATGATATTTTGTATCTCCATGTAGCACTTTTTTGTGATGTTTAGTCAAAAATCTCATCACCATGTGGCACTTTTATGTGATATGTTGTCACATATGTCACCACCATGTAGCACTTTTATGTGATAGGTTGTTACAAGTATCATCACCATTAGCACTTTTATGTTATAGGTTGTTACAAGTATCATCACCATATAGCACTTTTATGTGATAGGTTGTTACAAGTATCATCACCATATAGCACTTTTATGTGCTTTTATTTGATAGGTTCTTACAAGTATCATCACCATATAGCACTTTTATGTGCTTTTATGTGATAGGTTGTTACAAGTATCATCACCATATAGCACTTTTATGTGATAGGTTGTTACAAATATCATCACCATATAGCACTTTTATGTGATAGATTGTCACAAAAATTATCACTATGTCACAGATATCATCATTGTAGTCTGTGTGGAGTTTATGGTGCCCACCATTTTAGGGGCAAAAACAATCAGCCCACTGCCCTCTAATAAGTATGTCATAAAAGGCAGCTAATTAGAGATTCATTTAAAATGAGCATGTTGAGCTAAAAAGTACATATATCACAGCCTACCTATAAACACTATGCCAAATGCCCTGTTAAGGGGAAACGCAGAAAAAGAATAACACCAAGGGATGAACTAGAAGAAGCATGTCTGTGTCCTGTGAAGACACAGAATTAAAATACCATTTAACACCTGTTGCAGGACAGCCGCAGTACATAGATGGTTGTGATGGTGATTTTATTGAAGCATGAAAGAGCTTTTTTTTTTTTAAGGGGGGGGGGGGGGGGGAGAGGGGGCTAGTTTTTCTCTTGGTAGCTTACAGTTAGACAGATCCTACTAACTTTATACTGAACCATTAAATGTATAAGTGCTTTTATCATTCATTGTATAAGTGCTTTGATCTCCTGCTCGTAATATCCCTCTGCAAAATCTTTGCATTTGGCCCATCAAATTCATCATCATCATCGTTTCCCATTTTAGTACCTGCTTGGTGATTCTCCGCTTATTTCGTCTTATGATATTTCCAATAAAACACTGTCTTCTTTGTCTTGTAACAGTTGTTACTAGTGGCTGGTCTTGAAATTTCTCTTGATTTCTTCATCCCTATTGAATTCATCCCCTTTTATATTTTTCATTTTCGCTGAGGCATTAATTATCAAATGCATTTCATTTTCATTCCGAATCTTTAGTGGTTCTCCAGCTGTTACTTGTGTATCTTTAAACTGTGTTAATATGATGCAGTTTCATCTAATCCCTAATTAATAGCCTCTTATTGTCTTGTTAGGGGGAAGTAGATCTATTCTTCTTTTTTTTTTCTTCTTCTTCCAGAATGTGGCCCTGCAACGTACAGAAGGAACTCCCTTTAGTCATATGTAGGACATCATTCAAGAAACCTGTCAGTATGAACAAGTACAGCCATCCCAATATTGGGGCGTGGTTTTTCATTATTTTAAAGCCCCACTCCAGGTGTTGTCGGGGGTCCTAATATAACAGAATGGTTGAATTGGGTTGCTGGGACTTGCGCCCAGGTGATTCTCATCCGAATGATGGTCTTTGTGTCACTGGGTGTTTGTCCCTGGTTGTGCAGTTGAACTTCATTGAGACCTAAGAGTGCTTATCTCCCTGATCCTGCACTAGTGGCTCAGATGATTAGCATGATCCTGTTCATTTTTTGTGTTTCTTTCAATAATTGGTAGATTCCTGGCTCAGCGTCGAGATTCCACAAAGCCCCGCTTGAAGCAGCAGAGCCCTCCCCAGTCGTTCCTCGAAGCTGACTGGTCAGATATTGATGAAGACCACAGGCTGCCTCCAGAAGTGCTCTACATGCTGCGCAGTGCCAGGTAAGCCACAGGTACTTTGTTATAAAGCAACAGAACCAGCTGAAATACCTTCAACTGTTGGCCCTCCCTCATTATTAAGAAACTATTTCTAGCTCGTGAGTTGCCGTGGTCTAGCGGCTAGACCCTCCCCTGCAGATCAGAAGGTCGTGGGTTTGCTCCCTGGCAGAGCCGGCCTTTTTTTTCAGAAAACCTTGGCTCCCAGGTCGACCCAGCCTTGAGTGGGTACGGGGTGCAGTCCTGGGAAGTAAAGGCGGTCGGCATGATGCTGACTACATCATACATCTTGTGCCATTGTTCTATAAAATAAAGGTGTAGGCCTATATACCCAATATGACTGGAAGGCGTGGAAAAAAGTCCTTTACTTTTTACTTTTTTTGTCTAGCTCAGCTCTTCTAGATTATAATTTAAATATATAAAACCTTTTATTCCTGTCTTTTAATTTTCGTAATATTTATTTGTATTTGGCCAGAGTTTTTAATCTTTTCCCTCTTTTGTTATTATTTTATTGAAGCTTATATCAAAGTTTTAGGGATAGAATCTTATCTATATTACACCCACGACCCACCAAAACATGGGAAATTGCTTCACGACCCACCAAAACATGGGAAATTGCTTCACGACCCACCAAAACATAGGAAATTTTGTAACCCACCAAAACATGAGAAATTGTTTTGCAACCCACCAAAACATCGGAAATTGTTTTGCAACCCACCAAAACATGGGAAATTGTTTTGCAACCCACCAAAATATGGGAAATTGTTTTGTGGCCCACCTGACAGCTAACCAAACACAGAAACAAAATTTTACAAATGAAGATAACGGTTGATTTGTTAAAATATAATGGTACAAAGTTTAAATTATCAGCGAATGTGTCATCTGTTGCTGCTTAGTAGTTAACAGAAACATGATTTTTAATGGCTGGAGCATTGTTTCTGATATATAAAGCGCTGCAATGACATCCATTCGATTTCTTGGTTTATTTTTTATTTTTGAGATATCTGAGAAAGTCTTCTCACACAGATAGGAAATCCCTGAGGTGTTGATCCTTCAGACTGGAAGAGAAATAAACTGCCTTATTACATAAAGTAAAGTAAAGGTCCCTTTTCCTCGCCTTTAGGCTTATAGGGCATCTAGGGCTAGACCTATATTTTTATAGACCAATCGGCGAAAGATGGATTTGCATGCAGAACTCAAGTGCTGGAACAAGACTTGTCCAGAAGTAGGCAAACAGCCAGAACTTTTTGCTGGAGTTTACAGCTGGTGAACACAAAGAAGAAGAAGAAGAAATAGAAGAAGAAGAAGAAGAAGAAGAAGCTTTGACATCCCTTGAGTAGTTATTGACTAGATGCTCACCTGCTGGCCCACATGTCTTGGGTTCAGTTCCACATCAATATGGATTTTTTTCTTCAGAAGTGACCTTGGCTGCCGGATGACCTGGCCTTGACTCTATCAGTCCCAGGGGATTTAGCATCAGACGACCATCAGAGGCCCAAAGGGTGGTAAAGAGAGATGTGAGATCTGCAAATGTTGGGCTTCTAGGTCAAAACCTGTGAAGGTTTGAGGGACTGAAAGAGTTAAACCTGTACGAGGTAATGTCCTGGGGTGTAAAATTGGCCACCGTGATGCTATCCACATCCACCCACTAAGTGCCGACCAGCCTACAAAATCTGCGTCTAGCAACATGTGGGTGGTGATGTACCAGAATGATCATCATGTAGCAGGTCCTTTGCAGGAGGTCGCTCTCATCACGGTCTGCCTGAAAGAAACTCTCGCCATCTCTCCCTCCTCATGCACTTTCACAGTCAAGGAGTCACTTATATCCTGTGCCCATCTTCTTGTTGGTCAGCTCCTGCCCCTCCTTCCTGGTACCATGCCTTCTGCTATTATTTTTTCCAATCCATTGTGGCGCTTGATATGACCAAAATATTTCAGCTTCCGAGACAGGTGAGTACCACTGACCTGAAATTTGGTGTTGATTTTCGTATTTTTGACTGCTAGCTCTGTATGTACACATTTAACACTGTATTTATGTGTGTTTGTCAGAACGCATTGTAGTAATTGTCCTGATATTGCTTTCTCTGACCTGAACTGTTTTAGAGTGTTTGGACATCTGGAGAAACCGTTCTTCCTGGAGCTGTGTCGATTCATGGAGACCATAACACTGAGAGCTGGCAGCTTCTTGTTCAAGGCTGGGGACCCTGATGATAGCATTTATGTTGTGCAGCAGGGTTTGCTAGAAGTCTACATTAATGATTCTGTAAGTATTAGTTGTTAGTTGCATATCATTTAGTTGTATATAGTTGCAAATGCTTTAGTTGTATATCCTTTAGTTGCCTATCCTTTAGTCGCATATCCTTAGTTGCACATCCTTGAGTTGTATATATTTTAGTTGCCTATCCTTTAGTTGCACATCCTTGAGTTGTATATATTTTAGTTGCCTATCCTTTAGTTGCACATCCTTTAGTTGTATATATTTTAGTTGCCTATCCTTTAGTTGCACATCCTTGAGTTGTATATACTTTAGTTGCCTATCCTTTAGTTGCACATCCTTTAGTTGTATATACTTTAGTTGCCTATCCTTTAGTCGCATATCCTTTAGTCGCATATTCTTTTGCTGCATATCCTTTAAAGTACACATTTTTAAAAAATTATTAATTTTTTCCCATGGTAACTTATGAATGTGATTCATGGACTTTTACTCGATCATTGAAGAAAAAATGGAGCTTTTGAACTAAAATGCTGCAGAAAAAAAAAAACTTTAAATACCATGGACCAAGAAGAAGAAAAAGATTGACATCCTGCATGACCTGAGCATCAGGGAGAACTGGCTCATAAACAGCATCCGGTCCCAGGAGCTGAGGTATGATGGCCATTTAAATGTCATGGTGGCTTGGAGTGAACTGTGATAGAGAGTACAGTTTCCAGAAAACAAGGCAAAGACGAACCTCCATAAAGGTGGGTACAGCACCTGCAACATGCATTGGCTATGAAAGCACATAGGGCTGGGGAACTAGCTAGAGAAAGAGAGACTTTCAGACCTGCCATGACGAGAGCGAGGTTCTGAAAAGGACCTGAAGAGCGGCAATGGTGCATATCCTTTACAAGGTGTTGCAGGCTAACTCTGTTTGTTGACTGTTTGCGGTTGTACTAGGTAATTTTACATTCAGTAGTTTGCCATCATAAGTCTTATGAGTCACATGACTAAGGTGTTACTAAGAATGATTATGAGAAGAATAAGGAACAAAATTAAACCTGAAATCAGCTATGAACAATGTGGATTTGTAGAAGGAAAAGATACAAACAATGCAATATACATCCTAAGGACATTGTCAGAAAGTGCTATAGAAGTGAAGACTGATTTGTACTTATGCTTCATAGACTACGCAATTTGACTGCAAAACATGAAGAAGTAATTAAACTGTTAGAAAAATTAAACATTGATGGAAAAGATCTACGAATAATAAAGAATATGTATTGGCAGCAAACAGCAGCTATAAGAATTAACAACTGTTTAGGTACATTTCAGTGCATTAAGAGTGGCATACGACAAAGATGTGTACTGTCACCTGATTAATTTTCACTATACAGTGAATATATAATGAGATCTTTAATTGATATGCCCAGAATTGTGGTTGGTGGGCATAATATAAACAATTTACATTATGCTGATGACACAGTCTTGATAGCAACAAGTCAGAAAGAACTACAGGAACTGATAGACATTGTGGTGGTAGAATGTGGAAGAATGGGCCTCAGTTTGAATAAAGGAAAGACAGAAGTAATAGTGGTATCAAAGAAAAGAATTATCCCTAAAAGTGTAATAAAAACCAATAGTGTTATTTTGGGACAAGTACGGAAATGTACGTATCTGGGCACATGGATAACATCAGATAGAAGATTCATTACTGAGATAAGAAACAGAATAGGACAGGCATAAACTGCATTTTATAAAATGAAGAACATCTTATGCAGTAAATCTCTGTCATTGAAAGTTAGAAAAAGAATTCTTGTTTGCTACATACATTCATTTTTAACATATGGCTGTGAGTCCTGGACAATCGGTAGGCAGGCCAAACAAGTTCTTGAGACCTTGGAGATGTGGTTTTATAGAAGAATGCTTAGAATACCTTGGACAGTTAAAAAGAGCAACTCAGAGGTTTTGAAATAGGCAGGAGCCGAAAGACAGCTTATCACAGACATCAGAAGAAGACAGTCATCAATTTTCGGCCATGTTAAGAGAAGAGGGAAAAAGGAACATGGTGTGACCACTGGAAAGATATGTGGAAAGAAGGATAGAGGAAGACAGCGAGAGAATATTCTTGACAGTCTTGTTGTATGACATGGAAGTGTGTCAGCACGCGAACTGATACATGCTGCAGGAGATCGCGAATTGTGGAAAGGCATGATCGCCCACGCCAGTCGGCAAGGCACCTGATGATGATGAGTTTGCCATTGCCTCTGAATGGTTGATGCTCATATCATTGAAATAATTGCAAAGTGGTCTGCTGCTCAGTTATCTGCAGCTGAATCAGTCCCAGGCAGCTTAAGTTATGAAAAATCCCCATGTAGATTTCAGGGCCCTTTTTTGGGGGGGAGGGGGGGATCAACCCAAAATAGGCCCCCAGAACCCACATGGGGGAGCTGTATAATGACACTTGATTTTGTTTTTCTTTATTCTTTGAACATTGTTTGAATGTCTGAACCTCGTTAGTGTATCCATAAAAACAATTACATTTCAGGATGGGACTGAGTATCTAGTGAAACAGGTTGCCACTGGTGCAAGTATACACAGCCTGCTTTCCATCTTGGATGTGCTGACGGTAAGTTCTTCTTCTTCTTCTTCTTCTTCTTCTTCTCTTCTTCTGCTTTTTCTTCATCTGCACTTTCTCTTTTACTGCTTTAGGTGTTGAGGAAAGGATAAAGGATAATTGTCTTCTGTGGCTTGTCTTCTAGTCAGTTGACAAATAATCTCTGATAATTGAGTCGTTGAACAACCTCATGAAAACACAGCTAAGCACCTGAGTGAAAACAACTATCACTGAACACACTGTACTGACTCGGTATGACACAGTCGTTACACTGCCTACTAACACTTAAATTATAAAACCATCAAAGTAACACGTTATCAAAAACGAACCATCGCTAACTTAAATCAGTTACGGAAAAAACCTAGTGGTCAAAACACAACACGTCTGGGTCCAGTCCAAGAATCTGAGCCCACTCTCCAAAAACCCTTCCGCTCTTTCCGTTTTGTCCTGTCTGGGGTTCACTGTGGATCAGTGAATCTATTGTGAATTCTGGAGTCTTCAGTGATGTCTTCAATGGTGTCTTCAATGGTCTGTCATAATGTCCTTGTCAGAAACTCCTGCAGGCTGTTGAATACCTAGTCACTAAGATGTCATCTTAATGCTAGTCCATTATTCACTGTCAGCACATACAGTCAATCCATAGCCACACATGCCCTTGTCACATAATCTCACAATGTTTACTTGAACTTGCTTACACCTGTTATGCCATAGGTCATTTAGCATCTGCATTTTTAGTCTCATAGAAGTAAAAAATACAGCTTAATGGCAGAGGTAATTAATTATAGTGTCAGTTGAAGTATAAGGAGTTGACAAAAGAATGGGATAGGAAACATTAAGAAATGTATACTAGGTAAAGAGTAACCAGTGAAGAAGGTATGGTGAGTGAGTTCCATGAAACTGAAAGAGTTAACCATGAATTTTGAAGCCAAACAAGTTTTGAATGTTTTCAGTTCTTGCATACAACCCCTTGTCAGATAACAGTATATTTGCACATTTGTGTCCAAATGTGATAGGGACATCCTGGAACTTTCCGGAGTGTGTCTGCCAGAGCCAAGACAGACTCCACCATTCTGAGGTTGCCTGCACATGCCTTCAACTCCATGTTTGAGAAGTTTAATGAGTCTGCAGTCAAGGTTGTTCAGGTGTGTATTTCTCTGTTTAGTCAGTCTTTCCTCTTGAGCCGATGGCGGCGCACAGGGCAGAGGTCATAGTTCTCCATGTTTTAGGTCGTGGATGTTCATTAGGTCCATTACAACAGTCAGTGAAGAGACAACATTGCAGATATAGAAAATCTATTTCAAGCGGAAAAAAGGAAGACAAAGAAGAATTAGGCCCCTGGTTGAGCCTCCCCTGATGATGGTTCTCCACAGGGTCTCTCTTGGTCTTCCCCATTTCCATTTCCTTTCCGGTGTCCATTTTAGGGCTCGAAGAGGGAGTATGGTCTTATCCATGGCCAGTTTAGCTCTAGCAATGCTTTCTCTGTGCTGCCAGTATGTTTTATTCTTACTGTGTGTCTGTGTGTGTGGCTGCATGTGTGTCTTTGAGTGTGTGTTTGTGTGTCTTTGTGTATGTGTATTTCCCTGGGTATGTGTCTGTGAGCGTGTATGTGTGTGTGTGTCTGTATTTGTTTGTGTGGTGTCTGTGTGTGTAAATGTGTGTGTGTGTGTGTGCGCCCGTGTGTGTGTGCATGCACACACACACGTATGTATGTATGTACATATCATGTATCATATTTGTATGTGGATGTATATTAATATATATATATATGTGTGTGTGAGTGGGTTTGTGTGTGTATGTGGGTGTGTGTGCGCATGCACTTTACCACCCATGCTTTTGTGTTTTTGCTTGATGTTTGTAGTATGCATACTATTATATAAACATAACATGCTTTATTGATAAAATACAACTACTGTGTGAAAGATGAGTGTTTGGAAGGGCCGAATGTAATACAGGCCTGCGTGCCCAATTTGTGACCCTCTAAAAATAGTTTGTTGGTTCGTTCATCTTAGGGTTTCTTTTGGGTGTCCTTGTTTCCTCCATTTGTTTCCCGTTTAAGTGCCTGTTTGGTGATTCTCTGCTTTTTCTCATGATGTGCCCGAAACATTGCCATATTTTTTTCCCCCTTTTTTTTTCCCCTTTTAATAACGCTCGTCTAGACATTTCTCTCATTCTTCGCTCCGCTTGAATTCATCTCATTTAATGTTCATTATTTTTCCCTAAGCATTTGTTTTTCAATGTATTTAAATTTGTTTCCATGTCTTTAATGGTTCTCCAGCTGTCACTTGCATATGCTAAACTTGAAATAACACTTGATTTTAGAACTTTGTCATGTAGAGTTCCTTGTTTCGATCAGTCTTTTTAAAGCTGCTGCTGATCTTGTATCGTGACCACATACTTGGTTGTACCATTGTCTGTCTCTCTCTCTCTCTCTCTCTGTGTCTCTCTCTCTCTCTCTCTCTCTCTCTCTCTCTCTCTCTCTCTCTGTGTCTCTGTCTGTCTCTCTCTCTCTCTTTCTCTCTGTGTCTCTGTCTGTCTCTCTCTCTGTCTCTCTCTGTGTCTCTGTCTGTCTCTCTCTCTCTCTCTCTCTCTCTCTCTCTCTCTGTGTCTCTGTCTCTCTCTCTCTCTCTCTCTGTGTCTCTGTCTCTCTCTCTCTCTCTCTCACTATCTCTCTCTCTCTCTCACTATCTCTCTCTCTCTCTGTGTCTCTGTCTGTCTCTCTCTCTCTCTCTCTCTCTCTGTGTGTCTCTGTCTGTCTCTCTCTCTCTCTCTCTCTCTCACTATCTCTCTCTCTCTCTTTCTATCTGTGTCTGTCTGTGTGTGTGTGTGTCTCTCTCTCTCTCACTATCTCTCTCTCTCTTTCTATCTGTGTCTGTCTCTCTGTGTGTATCTCTCTCTCTCACTATCTCTCTCTCTCTTTCTATCTGTGTCTGTCTCTCTGTGTGTGTGTGTGTCTCTCTCTCTCTCTCTCTGTAATCAGTTCCCAATCATCATCATGGAGCAGGTCCTTTGCAGAATGTTGCTCTTAGCACCCTCTGCCTAAAAGAAACTCGGTCTCTTGTCAGCTCTCCCAACTTGTGCACTTACTTTTTCAATTTATCACTTATAACCTGTGCCCGTCTTCTTGCTGGTCAGCCCCTGCATCTCTTTCTTGGTACCATACCTTCTGCTGCTGCTGTTTCCAACCACCTTGATATGGCCAAAATAGTTCAGTTTCCAAGACAAGATGCTGTTTAATGCTTTTTACTAGGCAGTCTTCCTTGATGTTCAGATCTCTTAGGACATCAGTATTTCTTTTCTTCTTAGTCCATGGAATTCTGAGAATCAGCCCCCATTACTTTTGGAATATAAAATTGACTAACCCTTGTCCATGCAGACAAGGCATATAATTATTGTGAGTGTTATAAACTTAAGGACCCTTATCCGCACCCTTCAGCAAATTGGCTGTACGGTACTAGACCTATATTTTATAGACCAGTTGGCACTTGACGGGAGATGTGGTGATCATGAATCAGCTAGTCCTTTACAGAACGTCGCTCTACTCACGGCACGCCTGAAAGAATCCTTTTCCCTAGCCAGCTCTCCAGCCCCATGTGCTTTCAATGCTAATGCATCTTCAGTGTCTTGTATCCATCTTTGCAGTGATCGACCCATGCTTCGCCTTCCACAAACTGTACCTTCCATCACCGTCTTTTCCAAGCCACCATGACGCCTGATGTGGCCAAAATACTTCAATTTTCGGGACAGGATTCTGTTTATGAGCCAGTTCTCCTTGATGTTCAGCTCGTTCAGAATGAAATATTTTCCTGTCTATTTAACCAGTTTGAATAGTGACACTGCACCCTACCAGGCATGTCGTAAGAGGCGACTAAGGGTAGGGTTGGGCGTGAGGTTGGCTACCTCATCCTGTAAAAACCATAGCCACAAAAACCAACCAACCATGGATAAGTCAAAAAGAGAAGCAAATAAACTCCAGCCAACCAAGATGAGGGGAGGCTCTTCAAATAGAAGAAGTATGACACGGTGTGGAGAAAGCCGTAAGGAGTCCGGATCGTTGACTTACCTCCTCTCAGCTAGGAAAACCTCCAGAATTGGCACCTGGAATGTTAGAACTCTCTATGATATAGGGAGAACAATGGAAGTAGCAAAGGAAATGAAACATTATAGAATTAGTATTTTGGGGTTATGTGAAACAAGATGGACTGGGACAGGGAAAAGTATTCTCAATTCAGGAGAAACTATTTTGTTCTCAGGACACACAGAGGAAAATTTGCCGCACAGTGAAGGAATGGCCCTGATGCTATCAAAAGAAGCAGACAGAGCACTAATAGAATGGGAAGCTGTGAGTCCCAGAATAATCAGAGCATCTTTTAGAACAGTAAAACAGAAGGTGAACATGTCGGTAATACAGTGTTATGCACCAACAAATGATAAAGATGCATCTGTTAAGGAAGAATTTTACATGCAGCTTCAAAATATTATAAATAATGAAAGAAAGGGCAACTTAAAAATTTTGATGGGTGACTTGAATGCTAAGATAGGATCAGACAACACAGGTTATGAAGAAATTATGGGGAGACATGGTCTAGGAGTAATGAATGAAAATGGAGAATTGTTCACAAATTTTTGTGCAGGTAACCAGTATGTTATTGGTGGAAGTATTTTTCCCCATAAAAGAATACACAAGGCAACATGGGAATCACCAGACCATAAGACAACTAATCAAATTGACCACATATGTATTAACAAAAAGTTTAGATCATCCCTTAACGATGTTAGGGCTTTCAGAGGTGCCGATGTATTTACTGACCATTTCCTGGTGATAAGTAAAATCAAGTTGAAACTAAAAAGATATATAACATCTTATAATCATAGAAACCAATATAATGTAGGCTTTCTCAGAGATAAAGAAATTAAGGAACAGTTCTCAGTTACAGTCTCTAATAAGTACCAGGTGTTGCAGCAGTTAGCTGAAGATGGCAACACAGAAGTCTGCTGGGATCAGATCAAAGGAATCTGGAATGAATCTTGCGTAGAAGTTCTTGGCAAGAAAGAAAGGAAACATAAAGCATGGATAACACCAGAAACCATTAAACTGATTGAAGATAGGAAAAGTAAAAAGGCAGAATTAAACAATAGCAAAACTAGATCTGCTAAAGCTAGAGCTCAGGAGAATTACACAGAAGCCAACAAGGAAGTTAGGAGGCATATAAGGGCAGATAAAGTGAAATATCTAAATGATCTAGCACAAGAAGCGGAGACAGCAGCAGCAAAAGGAAACCTCAGAGAACTTTACAGTAACACAAGAAAATTAGTAGGTAAATATAGTCAGCCAACTGGATCAATCAAAAATAGTCAAGGAAAGGTACTTACTAACACTAAAGATCAAATGGACAGATGGGTTGAATATTTTGAAATGCTTCTAAATAGACCAGGCCCAGAGGTTCCCCCAGATATCCAGCCTTTAGAAATGGAACTGGATATCAACTGTGAGATACCATCCAAAGAGGAAATTAGAAAAGCTATAAATCTTCTTAAGGAAGGAAAGGCGTCAGGCCCAGATGGTATCCCAGCTGAAGCCATCAGGACCAAAAACACATCAACAGAATTGCTACATAGATTATTCAGTAAAGTCTGGGAGACCGAAGAAATACCAGCAGACTGGAGAGAAGGAAATCTTGTGAAACTGCCCAAAAAAGGTGATCTACAGGAGTGTGAAAACTATAGAGGAATTATGTTGCTGTCAGTTCCTGGAAAAATATTAAGTATAATTATTTTGGAAAGATTAAAAGATGCTATTGATAAAATGCTAAGAGATGAGCAGGCAGGTTTTCGGTCAAACAGATCCTGTACTGATCAGATAGCCACATTACGTATTATAATAGAGCAAAGCATTGAACTGAACTCACCACTTTACATTGGATTTATAGACTATGAAAAAGCATTTGACAGCATTGATAGGGAATCTCTCTGGAAATTGATGGGGCACTATGGAGTCCCACAGAAAATTATCAACTTAGTAAAGGCAACATATAAAGACATGAAATGTAGAGTTCTTCATTAGGGAAAGCTAACAGATGCATTTGAAATAAAAACAGGTGTGCGACAGGGATGTCTCTTGTCGCCTCTATTTTTACTGGCTATAGACTGGACTATGAAAACAGTAACTGCTAACACCAAGAATGGAATTCAGTGGACCCCTACAAAACAGCTTGATGATCTGGACTTCGCTGATGATATTGCTCTCCTGTCCCATTCACGGAATCAGATACAAGATAAATTAAATATACTTAAAGCGAGATCACAGCAGCTTGGTCTGAAAATCCATAAAGGAAAGACAAAGAAAATGAGAATAAATCAGGCAAATAGTAATGTGGTTTCTCTTAATGGCACCCCACTCCAAGACGTAGAGTCGTACACCTATTTGGGCAGTAATGTAGATAAAGATGGAGGAACTGATAGAGATATTAAAATAAGAATACAAAAGGCAAGAGGGGCTTTCATAGCACTAGGGAATTTGTGGAGGTCAAAAGAAATTAAAAGAAATACTAAACTAAAAATTTTTTATTCTAATGTCAAATCAGTACTATTGTATGGGGCGGAAACATGGAGAACAACGAAGGCAATTACTAATAAATTACAGACATTCATTAACTGGTGCCTGCGCAGAATAGAGGGAATAAAATGGTATGATAGAATAACTAATGTAGAACTTTGGGAGATAACTAAGCAGGCTCCAGTGGATCAGGAGGTGAGGAAAAGACGCTGGCGTTGGATAGGGCACACACTGAGAAAACAGGAGAACAGCATAACTAGAATGTCTTTGCATTGGAACCCACAGGTTCATAGGAATAAAGGAAGGCCAAAAAACACATGGAGAAGAGAGCTGGAGAATGAGGTTAGAAAGATTGGGAGGACATGGGGAGAGCTCCATGTAATGGCGAAGGATAGAACGACTTGGCGTGAGTTGGTTGAGGGCCTATGCTCCATTGGGGGATAAAAAGGCAGAAGAAGAATTTAACCAGTTTGTGTTTCCAAGTTTAAGGCCCAGAAGTTATTTATGAGTTACTTGTTTTCTGATCTAACAGATAATCATGATTCGCCTACAGCGAGTAACTTTTTCAGCTCTGCACAATTACCTGGGTTTGAGCAAGGAACTACTGAAACCTGTAAGTCTGTTGGAGTCTTTTCTTTCAGATAATATTTCATTTTATATGATCATAATTTAGTAATAATATGGTGTCATTGATAATGATTGCCCGGGATTTAAAACTTAAAAATTATTTAATGGATGTGGCTTCTAAAAATGTTCCAAAAAGTTTACAGTTTCAGAAATCAGTAGCACAATATTAGGATAAAAATTACCTCAAAAAAACCACAAACAGCCAACACAAAGATGAGCTTGCAATATCCTGTCAAGCATATGCAACTAACTTTACTGATTTTAATCTAGCAGGCCCATGAATTTTGACAGAATTGGCCCACATTAATTTCCCTTTACCAAAATGGCAGACCGGTGGGTGTACAAGAAAGGCTATAGAAAATGTAATTTACTTTTAATCCCTATAAAATTGTATATTTTTTAAAAGAGAAATGAATGTACATTTTGAATCTGATAAGTGTTTTGTTTAATTTTGTTATAGTTAGTAGGAAAGAAGAATTCAGCAGGTGGTAATTTCACAAGGACAACATTTCACACACAAATTCTTCACTTACCATGGAGAACAAAGTTTGTTCAATTTCCTAACATATTCCAAAGTTATGATAACTTTCTGGGTTAGCTTAGCACTCAGGGACTCTTGGTTCTCACAGAGTGCTTAGCACATTTTCAGGGAAAAAATGACAGAAAAATGAGCCATTACACACACACTATTTACTATTTACTTTGTACAGTTATTTACGGTGTAGCTGCAATGATTTCAATGTAGCTTAGCATAGCTATTTGTTTAGAGCACTTTCCTTCTCTTACACCATAAATATGGTAGTATGGGACATTGTCTGTGTAATAAACTCATCAGAATTGCTAGATTCTGAACAGCTGATCGCTCAGCTTCGCTAGTGAAAATTCACCGTCCGAATCACTTTCCGAAAAATCTAAATTTTATTATCATTATCACAATTAAAAACATCTGATTGAAACAATTTCAGAGCTTCGGCCGCAGAAAGACGCATTCTGCAACCTGTTCTTGTGGTTAGAACATTGGTATTCATGGCACTTAAAAACAAACTTAGAAAATTCACTGTTGAAAAAAATGTAACTGTTATTTCTATCAAATTATGCACGTGTTTGGATTAGACTAGGAAATGAAACAAAGGATTTCGGCAGAGTAACTTTTCCTGAATAGTTTAATCTTACCTCCAAACATTAGAAACTAGTTAGGATGCGTGTGCGAAGCAAAATGTACAGAACACACGATCGACGATGACACCATTGTTTGGGCAAAACGGAACTTCTCAAACAAAGCTCACACCATTGTTTGGGCTTCCTTTCATTAATAAAAAAAATGGACTTGTATCTAAACAATATTCTATAAAGTTAATTGTGACCTGTATGCAATAATTATTTTTTATAAACACATTTGGGCGGGGTGGGGGGATTCAGGGTCATGACATTTTTTTCTGCAAATGATTTTGAGGTGAAGGGATTAAGAATCTACATCGTAGTATGCATTGAATACCGGTAGATGCTTGCAGCCGGTGTCTTGAGGTGTGGATGCTGCCAGAGTTTTTCTAAAAAATGATTTAGCGCTTTACAGTGCTGCCTAAATCTTTTATGAAATTTGTGAGTTGATGACATGTTAATGGAGCTACTTTGCTTGTGCTGAATCTGCACAGGATGGTAATGGGAACACTAAAGAGCTGAACATACACCGCATCAGCCTGTCTGGCATTGGGAGCCCTAATAAGGTCGTCGGGGCTGCAGTTGAGATCAGCAGGGAGGAGACTGATGGGAGACCTACTTCTGGGGCCCCGCACAAGAGGTCCGCTGGTGAGTGGTGCAGTTCTGTTGTTTATGATCATCTTCTAGCACAGTGGCTCTCAAGCTTCCTAATGCCTTCAATGAATATGTGTTTTCTAATGGTCTTAGGTGATCCATGTGAAAGGGTCATTCGACCCACACACAAAAAAGGGGTAGCGACTGGCAGGTTGAGAACCGCTGCTCTAGCAGGTCCCTATCAGAATGTTGCTGTCATTACAATCTGCCTTACACACACACACACACACACACACACACACACAAACTCTTTCGCTAGCTCTCCCATCATTCACTTTTCTACCCAAGGTGTCACTTATATCCTGTGCCCATCCTCGTGCTGGTCGACCCCTGCCTATCTTTCCTGGTACCATGCCTTCTGCAATTATTGTTTCCAGTCCACTGTGGTGCTTGATATTGTTAGAATATTTGTTTCCAGGAAAAGATGTTGTTTACTAGCCAGTCTTCCTTGACGTTCAGACTGTTTAGTATTTAAGTATTTCTTGTCTTCTTTGTCACTGTTATTCTGAGAATCTTTCTTTAGCATTTCACCTCAAAAGCCCCAGTTTTCTTCATTATGGACTGTGAGATAGTCTACGCTATATTTGTTTGTTGCTACAGGAAAGATGCATGCTCTCTGTCTTTCCTGTAGCAATCTTCCCCCAGTAGTTCTTCTCTTAATGATTACATTTTGTTTAGGCGAGAAAGGGACCTTTGTCATGTGGGTGGTATGTGAAAGCACATGGTGCTTCACCCATGTATTTTAAGGTCAGTTAGCACTTGATTTATGATGTGCTCAACGGGCATACTCACCTACAGACCCAAACTTCTTGGGTTTGAATCAACTTTAAGGTGGATTAAAGTACACAAAAATAACGGATGGCTCAGGTTGAGGACATTATTCAACAGGTGTACTCACTTGAGGACATAGAACATGACCAAGTGTGGTGCAAGTGCTATTCAAGTGCTGTACATCCTCTGTTCGCCATCTACTAGATAGAAAACGCAGACAACAAAATCCAGCTGCTGTTGAGACACAAGTTGAGAACTTATTATATTTGCACTTGGAGGTTAACAATCAAAGTCTAATCCTAACATTTGTGGCAACTTATTTTATTGAATAAGTATAGTAATTGAATAGAGTAAGGCAGTGGTTCGCAACCTGTGGGTTGGGGGGTTAAAAGGGGCTCCCCCCCCCCTCCTTTTTTCAATCAGGAAGCGTATCTAAGCCCCGAGGGTCAAATCTCATTCGTCATGAAACATATCTAAATGTCAAATTTGGACATAGAATGCCAATCACAATGATAAATGGGGGTGAGTGATATCAGCAGTAATGAACTTTGTGATGACCCTTTGTATGGTCTCCACACTCACAGGAAGTCAAGCAGAAAATCTTTGCGACAAACGACAGCACAGGATACTTGGGGCTGGAAGGGTAAAGGAGGGAAAGTCCGAGGTTGACTCGTAATTAGTTGTGTACCAGAGTTAGAAGAGGACAGTTGTGATGACATCACTCTAGTTTCAATTAAGTGTAGTCAACGTTGAGTAAATGATTATTGTGTCATATTTGTGGAAGTGAACAGCGATGATTGCCATTGAGTACATGTAATGGAATAGGAGAAATAAACTGGCAGAATGTCTATTGGAATCCGAGTAGCGTTTCATTGTTGTCAATTGTAGAAAGCAGTATTTGATCCAGAGTAAACAAGCCGTAATAAAAGTGACCCAGCTTTCTTACTTACTTAGTCGCTCCTCTTCTACCTTGGGGTGTAGAGGTTTGCCAGAGAGATCGCCAGATGTCTCTATCAGCCATTTTCTTTCTGGCTTTGTTCCCAGCTTTCTTACAAACCTTAAAGGCTCAGAGTGCTGAAGGGGTGACTTTAATCCATGCAGTTTGGCATTCGTTGTCATTTCTATCCACAGCCTGACTTGTCTATGTCCAGAATTAATCCCTTCCTAGTACTCCGTACTGTTTGTCCATATTTTGTGGTTATGGTAACATACCCTACTGGTGGGGGGGGGGGGGGGGGGGGGGGGGGGCTGAGGGCTGAGTGGTCTCAAGGCATGGTGTCTGCCTCGAGTGTTTGAGGTCCCGGGTTCAAGCCCCCTGTTGAGGGCTCGGATTATTTCATGTGCACTTCTAGTAATTTCCTCTGGTCTCTGGGTAGTAAGATAGGACGCCCGTATGTATTGTTGTGCACATAAAAAAAATCCTTTGCCAGTTGGAAATCGAAAAAGAGCAGCATAACGGCGCTGCCCGGGCAAAATTTAGAGTTTAAAATTTACCCATAGTATTTCAGGTGCAATGAAGTTTGTGCACTGTGCTGAGACTTCTGACTCAGGTTCGAGTCAAAAGTAAAACAGAGCACTTATGCCATGATGTTGATCCGTTGTCTAAACCTAACAAAAGACACTAGTTTATATACTCTTTTAATTTTATGTTGTGGCAGGACAGATCATCACCTTTGCCTTGGCAACTGGATTAGGAGGGAAGTGCTCACAGATGAACAGAGTCCTGCTCTTCTGATTTGGCAGCTTCTACAGCATGCTTTGTTGTAAATGTATTAGTGTTACCTTTCCTTTGAAGTAAACAAGACAGTCAGATGGGGCATGTTGCATGGGCAAATCATGATCTCAGGCTGTGCAATGAAGAAGAGGTACTTTATCTCTGACCTTTGTTGGCTGATTTCTATGCTTTTCTAACACAATATAAACACATCTGGAAAGATTGAATGGGGCCAGCAAATATCTTCATCAAGCATCTTGCTTGTTATCTTGTAATTTATTTCTTTGCTGTTTTTTGTACATTCAAAGTTTGTATTCAGAACAGTTACTTTGTTAAAAGTAGTAAGGTGATGAAGCAACTTTTGTTTGTTTATAGTGCTTTAATTATCTGTGTGAACGCTAGAATGGATGAAACCTGCCAACATGTTTTTGTTGTTGTTCACGTAGCAACCAGCAGACCTGTCATTGAAGCAGGATCCCAGATCTCTGACTTTGATGCAGCTTTGATGCGAGCCAGAGTCTCTATCACAGATGAGAAGAGTATTGTTTTAGGTGGCTCTCCGCCGAGAAGACATTCATTAATCGAGGTTTGTATCTGTATGAGATTATTTCTATCTTCATAATTTTTGCTTCACACAAATCAGTTACATCTGTTGTCATTATTTTTTTTAAGCATGTTGTAATAAGATACATCTGTCAACATTGCTTTGCTTTACATCATTGTAGATTACATCTGTCAACATTGTTTTCTTTACACCAGTGTAGATTACATCTGTCAACATTGTTTTTTTTTACACCAGTGTGGATTACATCTGTCAACATTGTTTCCTTTACACCAGTGTGGATTACATCTGTCAACATTGTTTCCCTTACACCAGTGTAGATTACATCTGTCAACATTGTTTCCCTTACACTAGTGTAGATTACATCTGTCAACATTGTTTCCTTTACACCAGTGTAGATTACATCTGTCAACATTGTTTCCCTTACACCAGTGTAGATTACATCTGTCAACATTGTTCCCTTTGCACCAGTGTACATTACATCTGTCAACATTGTTTCCTTTACACCAGTGTAGATTACATCTGTCAACATTGTTTCCTTTGCACCAGTGTACATTACATCTGTCAACATTGTTTCCCTTACACCAGTGTACATTACAATTGTCAACATTGTTCCTTTACACCAGTATAGATTACATCTGTCAACATTGTTTCCTTTACACCAGTGTAGATTACATCTGTCAACATTGTTTCCTTTACACCAGTGTAGATTACATCTATCAATATTGTTTCCTTTTACACCAGTGTAGATTACATCTGTCAACATTGTTTCCTTTACACCAGTGTAGATTACATCTGTCAACATTGTTTCCTTTACAATTGTCAACATTGTTCCTTTACACCAGTGTAGATTACATCTGCAACATTGTATCGTATCCTTTACACCAGTGTGGATTACATCTGTCAACATTGTTTCCTTTACACCAGTGTGGATTACATCTGTCAACATTGTGTCCTTTACACCAGTGTGGATTACATCTGTCAACATTGTTTTCCTTTACACCAGTGTGGATTACATCTGTCTACATTGTTTCCTTTACACCAGTGTGGATTACATCTGTCAACATTGTTTCCTTTACACCAGTGTGGATTACATCTGTCAACATTGTTTCCTTTACACCAGTGTGGATTACATCTGTCAACATTGGTTTTTTTTACACCAGTGTAGATTACATCTGTCAACATTGTTTCCTTTACACCAGTGTGGATTACATCTGTCAACATTGTTTCCTTTACACCAGTGTAGATTACATCTGTCAACATTGTTTCCTTTACACCAGTGTGGATTACATCTGTCAACATTGTTTCCTTTACACCAGTGTGGATTACATCTGTCAACATTGTTTCCTTTACACCAGTGTACATTACATCTGTCAACATTGTTTCCCTTACACCAGTGTACATTACAATTGTCAACATTGTTCCTTTACACCAGTTTACATTACATCTGTCAAGATTGTTCCTTTACACCAGTGTGGTAATCCACCAGTGTATATTACATCTGTCAATGGTGTTTCCTTTTCAACAGTGTAGATTACATCTGTCAACATTGTTTCTTTTACACCAGTGTGGATTACATCTGTCAATATTGTTTCCTTTATTGAAGTGAGGATTACACCTGTAAACATTGTTTGCTTTACCCCAGTATAGATTACATCTGTCAAGATTGTTTCCTTTACACCAGTGAAAAGTACATCTGTCAGAATAGTTTGCTTGACACCAGTGAAGATTACACCTGTCAGCATTATTTGCTTTACAACAGTGTAGATTAAAGATAGTTTCTTCTGAGTTTCTATATCATGCTACTTTTTTCCTCCAATATCAAAAGCCGCCAGGGCATGAAGGATCAAGCCTGGCCTACTACCACACTGTCAGTCTGCCAGATGAGGATCTTATTTTAAGCTTGGCTGCAAAAGATCTTGTTCAGATTCTGGGTCTAAAGGTAGGAGTAGAAATGTTGCAGGCAGTTAATATGTAAGATATGTTGAATGTTGAATTAAGAATCGTCGTCACAGCACTCGGGGCACCCCGATAAGTGCTTCGTCCCCATCTTCAGCAGCAAGCAAAGAGTTAAAAATTCTGATGGTACCAGAAACTGTGAAACTGTCTGATTGTATATCTGTCTCGCCTTTCCCCTAAAAGTCGAGCACCGGCCAGATCCCCCTGCAACTTCTTGCAGTGCCATTCTCCTCAGACCGTAATGATCTGTCTGTGCCTCAGCACTGTTCACTTGCTCCCAAAAAGCCCTCACAACATCTAGCTTGTCATGCATCAATTCACCACCAAGTGGTGCAGAACCGACCAGTCTGTCTGCCTGCTGATTTCCCAACACACTGGTATGACATGGAGAAATTATCCAAAGGATGCTAACTACCCAGGACGTTTGAAGTGATGCTTGCCACTCTGCATGGAGCATGCCTGTCTCCACCTTTTTCAGCATGCTCTGTGAGTCAGTTACAGTGATTTGTAAGAAATAATATTGTTGTTGTTCACAGAGTCTGTTGTTTTAAAATAATTTATTTCCCTAAGTGGGTTCCGAGAAACCTAATTTGGGGGGGGGGGGGGGGGGGGGGGGGTAGACCCACTGCCTCTCCTCCAACCCACACCAAAACAAGCCTGTCATAAAAGGCAACTAATTAGGGGTGATTCGTTATCAGTTGGAGGGCATCAGCTTTAGATGTAGGGAACCAACAGTCTGCTTACAAATATTCTAGATCTGACAAACGTGTGCACCCTAAACTAATGAAAGTAGTCCACACTCATTGACACCTTATGAGAGTCCTTCAAAGGTGGATATTCTGAATAGTAATATTTTTAAAGACAAAAATCATACTACAAACTGCTACTGTATTTTGATCAAACTTCTTTTTAAAAAAAAAAAAAGACTTTTTAATGTGTACCATAAATTGTTGTGTATAAGTCACAATTTCAAGTGTAATAAGTCTTGCCAGAATGAGAGGTTGGCATATATGACAGATATGAAATGTATTAGGTAGATATAGGCCTGATTCATATAATTCTTAGCTGCAATGTGCTCTGGGGTTTGATTTAAATCGTCACATTGCTATAATGACGTTCCTAGGTACACATAGTTGCTAAGAATACACCAGACAACGAAAGTTCAGTTATTGATCTTTATTTGCTGTTACAACAATCGCACTGACCATGCGCTTCTTGTGTTCTCGTGGTTGCTATGCATGGCTGACTTCTGGTGACCTTGCCAACTATCTCACACAGTGATTCTTTCTGCCATTACCTTTCAGATTATACATCCGGTACTCGTACACAGTTGAAACTTTCAATCAGGAAACATTCATTTCTGCTCTCGAACAAGTACACGTGAACAGACATTCTGCATTCTCATTAGCTGTTCTCTCGCATTCGACTGCACACATCCAGGTCCGAACTTCAACTCCTTTCTACCCTCTCTGAGTTCAGATCTTCCGTTCCAGTCTCATGCTTTCCTCTTGTTTCACTGGTCCTCTGACCTTGTCTCCCCAATTAGGAACTCTGGGATTTCCCTGGGAATTCACAACATTACATAGCTAAACACCTTGAGGTTGTATACCAAATACCAAGTTGACTTGTACACCAGTGTTCCCCAAACTTTTCTTGGTTGTGGCGCCTTTTTTCTATTAAAATGTCTCCGTGGTGCCGTAACCTAAGTAAAAGTATGACTATTCATGTCTTGGTTAAATTTACTATGAAGTGTTTACACTATTTCGCGGTGCCCCTGTGAAGAGGTTGCGGCTCCCCGCAGCGATGCCGCACACAGTTTGGGAACCACTGTTGTACACTACAGTTTACGATATTCATTTTTTGGGGGTGGAGTCTGTGTGTGCGCACACATGCATATGTGTGTACATGCATCTTTTTCTCTCTTTGTCTCTTTCTCTCCCCTCCATCCCTCTGTCTGTATGTCTATCTGTCTCTGCCTCTCTCTGATCTAACTTTTACAACGTACATACATTCAGAATATATTTTTGCAGGATCCATCACTACTTGATGATCGTATTACTCTGAGCTGTGTACGAGCAGGCAGCATATTCTGTAAACAAGGGGATCAGGTTTGTGAACAGTTATTATCTTTTATGTCACTGGAATGTTAGAAACCTGAAGTGGCATAGTTCTTCTTCTTATTTTGTTCACTTGAAATAGATTGTTTTTATCTGCAATCTTTTTTTTAAATATGAACTACAGTGGGGGGTTTTTTTTTCACTCAACGGACCGTTAAGTTTGGCTTCGACTGCTGTTTCTTTTAGCCATAAGTTTTCTCTCCATATGTTGTATTTAGGACAGTCTTGTAGACATTATCTGCCATTTCAGGTGCCAATTATCCTGTACACATGGCTGATTTTCCTATGTTAAATTGTGTGTACATGTGGCTACAAAGTCAGTTGTGTTTTTTTTCTAAGGCATAGAATGATGACTTGCTTTATTCTTTCCAAAATATGGTAATTGTCTTGTACCGGTGTTGGTGATGTTTTGATTTAATTGATTATTCCCCTTGAAAGCTAAGAGACTGATACATTAGATTGTTACTCAGTTGCATGTTTAGGGGGGGGGGGGGTTTGCTGCATGGTCTTGAGGCATGGTGTCCACCTCGAGTGCTAGAGGTTCCGGGTTCAATCCCTGGTAAGGGCTGGGATTTTTTTGTCCGTTTACTTGGACTTCTAATAATTCTCCCTGGTCTCTGAGTGGTGAGATCAGACGCTCGTGTGCTTTATTGTGCACCTTACAAAAATCCCTTGGCAGTTGGAACTCCAAAAGAGTAGCCTAACTTCGCTGCCGGGGCAAAATCTGGAGTTAAAAATCTACCCAAAATATTTCAGGATCCTCGCCAGTGCTACAGAGCCAGTGCACTGAGCTTCTTTATACTCAAACTTGAGTTAGAAGAAGAACGGAGCACTAAAAGGTTACTACCCATGTGCCATGATGTTCATGCGTTGCTGAAATCTCAAACCTTAGTTGCATGTTTCTTAGCTGGTTGATCAGCTTCACAAATAAGAATTTAGTGGCATAGTGCTTGGACTACTTGCCTGCCAAGACAGTCCTCCAGCTTATGTTCACAGTAGCAACAAGATTACTGATTCCTACCAGTTAGTTAAGTCAGAAGATAATCCTCATTGCAAATTGAAGCATTCTGTTCTTGGCTTGGATCCCTTTCTCTAAATCCTGCAGTGTGCAGTGGTTTGACGACACCAGTTATGTGTTGGTTTATTCTTCTTCTTTAGCTTCCTGCAAAGTGCTCTTGTTTGTCCACACCCCCTTTTAACTTTTTGTTTTTAGTCTGGTCATGGTTGCAGATTCAGTCCCCACTTGGTTCTCACCAGCATCTTACTTTACATAGATCATTCAGTATGTCAGCTGAGCCCATGGCCTGTCCACTATCCCCAGTAGCCTTACCTGCAAGCCTGTTAACTGTCTACTATCCCTAATAGCCTTACCTGCAAGCCTGTTAGCTGTCTGCTATCCCCAGTAGCCTTACCTGCAAGCCTGTTAGCTGTCCACTATCCCCAGTAGCCTTACCTGCAAGCCTGTTAGCTGTCCACTATCCCTAATAGCCTTACCTGCAAGCCTGTTAGCTGTCCACTATCCCTAATAGCCTTATCTGCAAGCCTGTTAGCTGTCCACTATCCCTAATAGCCTTACCTGCAAGCCTGTTAGCTGTCCACTATCCCTAATAGCCTTATCTGCAAGCCTGTTAGCTGTCCACTATCCCCAGTAGCCTTACCTGCAAGCCTGTTAGCTGTCCACTATCCCCAGTAGCCTTACCTGCAAGCCTGTTAGCTCGCTCAATTCCTTGTACACCCACATACCCTATTTACTTATTTCTACCAGTGCAGTCATTACAAGATAGATGTGGTCAAAGCCCTTTAATGGCAAGTTCAGAAGCACAGAAAGGGAAGGAGTAAAAAAAAAAAGGGGGGGGGGGGGGGCTAGAGGAGGATAAGAAGAAGATGTAAGAGATGAAATTCTACAGTCTTCCATCATGGCATGGACACATATTAGCACAGAAATTGATACCTCCTGTTGGAGACCATGAAATTGCCATGGTCTGTGTATATGTGTCACTTCCTCCCCACACACACATGTTTTTTTTGTTTTTTTTTACACTTTCCATTTGTCGGGACAGCTTTTGTCGACTTTGCTCTCTATACAGTTTGTGGCCCCCTGCTGACGAGATTCTGTCTTCCCAGATAGTGGGCTGCTGCGATCAGAACATTGCAAGAACAGTGTTCTTGGGTCTGTGAAAACTGTTGGTTATTATTCCGCCTTGACATAGCACAACCACAGTAACATGCTGCCCCCACAAAAGATACAATGTATCGGCATTGAAAACGGGCACAAAACAGCAGTCATATAAGAGGAGCAGAACAGTCTGAGAGACGTCACAGCCCATGAAAATTAACACAGCCACTCATCACTATCTTGAAAACGGAAGTTCCGGAGACCATACGGACAAGCATGATTAGCCACACTAGTTTGACATGGTATACAATGATGATGGGTGATCTTCTTCAACCCTTGTTCTATAACACTGTTTATGCAGGCTTTAGAAAATGATTAGCCACACTAGTTTGACATGGTATACAATGATGATGGGTGATCTTCTTCAACCCTTGTTCTATAACACTGTTTATGCAGGCTTTAGAAAATGATTAGCCACACTAGTTTGACATGGTACACAATGATGATGGGTGATCTTCTTCAACCCTTGTTCTATAACACTGTTTATGCAGGCTTTAGAAAATGATTAGCCACACTAGTTTGACATGGTACACAATGATGATGGGTGATCTTCTTCAACCCTTGTTCTATAACACTGTTTATGCAGGCTTTAGAAAATGGAATTGAATTGCTGGAGATGTGGATCTACAGAAGAACAGTTTCATAAATCATGGAAACAAAAATAAGTAGAGGTTTTGAAGAGACTAGCAATTAAAAAAGTTGCTGAAAGAAATAATAAAAGAGACAAATAAAATACCTTGGACATATTAAAAGGCATAACACACTTGTAAAAGCCATACTAGAGGGGAAAACTGAAGGCGAACGCGCAAGAGACAGACGATGATGGAAGTGGTAGGACAGCAGTAATGGGTGAATGAACAGCAGTCGGAGAGAGAGATAAAGAGAGAGAGAAGTACATCCAGGGCAAAAGACAGAGCATTTGTGTATCTTTTGCAGCCAACTTTCATTGTGGAGACTGCATCTGATTGATTATGAAAGCTTATTTCATTTGTAGTGAAGATTGTTTAACTCTTTCAGTCCCAGGGAACACATCATACGTTCATAGGTTCTTACCTAGAAGCCCAATAAACACAAGATGCACAGATTTTACATCTCTCATTAACACCCCTTAGGCCTCTGATGCTAGACCCCCTTAGGACTGAGACGTGAGCATAGTCTTTCTGTAGCCTTATTGGCTGTAAACCTGTAAAGCTAAAAATACTTTATATTTTTGTTATCTCTTGAATCTTTTACAAAGTTGCTCCAGTTAATCCTTGAGAATTCAAGTAGTATTTGTATCTTGTTTTGTTTGTGCTTCTGTTGAACAGGATACCAGTTTGTTTTTCTTGGTGAAGGGGACAGTCAGCGTGCTACAGAATGTGGTTGGCGAATCATCTAAAGAGGTTTGTAGTTATTATATTTTATCTTTGCGGACTTGTTATGATGTTTGAATGTTGAATTAAGAATCGACATCATAGCACTCAGGGAAACTCCCATAAGCGCTCCATCTCCATCTTCAGCAGCAAACTAAGAGTTCCAACAAACAGTGAAGTAATCTGAAAGAAATGTTTTTAAAAAAATACAAACTTTATGAACTAGAAATGGCCTGCAGTGGTTAGTTGGCTTACGAACACAATTGTCTCCAGTGAAATATTTCTATGACCAGTACAGCTCTGGGCTTGATCCAGTCTAAAGTGGGAGCCCAAGACTCTTCTTCTCCTCCTTCGTGTCCAGCAGCTGTAAACTCATGCGGAAAGTTCTGGTTATTCATTCACTTTTGAGCTGTGTTTTTGTTCCAGAACTTTAGTTTTGAGTGCACATCTGTTTTACTGCTTTTGGCTTATTTATACGCAGACTACTGGTTTCTTGCCTCTTAGGCAGATGTGCTCTGACTTTGAAGGAAACAACCCCAGCTAGTCATCTTTTATGACATGCTTGTTCGGGGTTGGGTGCAGTGGGTGTGTCCCCCACCCCAAATGGGGCACTGGAACCCACACATGGAGTCAGTCGCATGCCTGGGAACATCAAGGAAACAGATAACCTCAGTCCTTTTATAATGTTATAATGACAGCTGTCGGCTCTGTGGCTAAGTCGATGCGAACGCTTCGTAATGCAGGTATGCCGGGTTTGATCCCAGCTGCGGGCCACGCGCCTTGCGTTGGTTTCGATAGTGGTATCAAGAAAGCCGACCGCCCAGAAAGCAGTGGCAAACTACTGGACGTAAAGTTCCCTAGAGAAACCACACAACAACCAGGGGCTGTTAGGGTTGCTTTTGCAACGTCCTGTAAAGGATACGCAAGTAACCTAACCTATAATGATGGGTACAATCAAAAGTACAAGTTGTTACATTAATAATGATTTAATCTCATGCCGCCATTGATTACAGGCACTCATGTTCCATGCTGAGCCAGGAGAAATCATAGATGTCCTGGCAGTGCTAACAGGCGAACCTTCCTTCTTCACCATGAGAGCCAAGACTGACGCCATCATGGTGGTCATCTCCAAGCCTAATTTTTATCAGTGAGTACCTGCCTGTCAAAGGAAGATTGGCTAGTAAACAGCATCTTGTCTCGGAAACTTAAATATTTTGGCCATAACAAGCTCCCCAGCAAATTGGGAAAAATAATAGCAGAATGTGTGGTACCGGGAAAGAGCGGTGCAAGCCAACCAGCACAAAGATGGGCGCATAATATGAGTGACCTTTTGAGTAGGAAAGTGCAACAAAGTAGGAGAGATGGCGAGAGACGAGTTTCTTTCAGGCAGACCATGATGAGAGTGACATTCTGCTATGAACCTGCAGCTATCCTCCGAATAATGGGCACAAAAGATGGTGGCCGCTGGCGGCCAAAAATAGGACCTCAGTCACGTGTCAATTGCGCACTTCCGGTGACCTAATTTGCGGTTTTCCGGGAACTACCGCCACTGTCGAGAGTATCCTCCACGCTGCTCATGCAGCGTGGATTGGGGCTAAGCTAGATGGCTTGGACTCACGAGCAAAGCTGCAGAAGATGCGGAAGCTGCTGCTCGTGAGTCCCAGCCATCTAGCTTAGCCCGAATCCATGCCGCGTGAGCGGCGTGGGGTATACTTTCGGCGGTGGCGGTAGTCCCCGGAAAACCGCAAATTAAGTCTTCGGAAGTGCGAAATTGACACATGACTTAGGCTCTGTTAGGGTGTTTTTGCAGCTGCTATCTTTTGTGCCTGTTATTCGGAGGATAGCCGAACCTGCAATGTGAGGATGATGGCCTGTCTGTCAGAAAGAGAATTATGTCTATTTAAACACTATGCCGATCCATGATATTGTTCAGCTTTAGTCTTAGAAACTATATTTATTCTGCTATTAGATGCTTCTTGGTCTACTTATTGTCCATGTTTCACCCCCATACAGCAGTAATGTTCCTATATAGCCTTCAACTCTACCATACCTGAGACCCTGAACCTAACTGTCCCCTATACCTGGCTCCTGAGCATTAAAGAGAAAAACCCAACATGGTATATACAAATGTTAGTTACCTGCAAACAAGTGGTTAGAATAAGATGAAACTTGGAGACATTGTAGACAATAGGTCTGCCTTTCATCTGTTGCCAATATTCCACCTTTGTGTGACAATCCACCCAGCAGGATGAGCCTTGTTTCACACAGAGGTACTTCTTACAAAGTGAGCACCAGATGTTGCTCTTCACCTTTTTGCATGGATTGTTTTGAAAAAGGTAGTAGTTCTGTAGAGCATATTATATAAATAAAAATGGTTTTCATTTGTAACTTCAGTTTTAATGGAAAGTAAAAACAAGGGTCTTAGTTTGAACAGGAGAAAAACTTAAGCAATGATAATTGCAAATAAAACTGGCCCTCCAAAATGCAACATCAAACTAAATGGGACAAACCTCAAGCAAGTTGATTTTAAGTACTTGGGTACCCTGATAACATCAGATGGAAGATGTATCTAGGAAGTTAAATGTCGAATAGCTCAAGCAAAGGCATCATTTTACAAAATGAAGAATATTGTATGCAGTCTTTCTTTGTCATTTGAGACAAGAAAGATTCTTAAAAGTTAAATAAATCCTATATTGATATACGGGTGTGAATCATGGACAATTAGTGAACACTTATTTGGAAGCTGCAGAGATGTGGTTTTATTGACAGATGATGAGAATACCCTGGACAGATAAAAAGAGTAATGAAGATGTCTTGAAAGAAACTGGCTCATGAAGAGAACTGACTGACTGCCCACATCAGAGACAATCTACATTTTTTGGTCATGTGAAGAAGAAAACGAGTGCATTGTGACAGTAGGAAAGTTGGAGGGGAAGAGAGTCAGAGGGAGACCCAGAGAACAGATGCTGGGCAGTCTGACATCATGGCATGGAGGATCATCTGTATCAGAGGTGACTGAATGTACACGAGACAGAAGGTTGTGGACAGACATGACTACCAACGCCACACAGCATGGACTCTAAGAAGAAGATTTTCATTTAAAATATGTTTATTGTTCCTAGGAGGGGCTGCGGGGTCTCGAGGCATGGTGTCTGCTTCGAGTGCTAGAGGTCCCGGGTTTAATCCTCAGTAAGGGCTGGGATTTTTTCATGTGGGCTTGGACTTCTAATAGCTGGTCTCTGTTTAGTGAGATCGGACACCCATTTGCATTGGCAGTTGGAAATCGAAAAGAGTAGCCTAACGGTGCTGCCCCACGGCAAAATTTTGAGTTAAAAATCTACCCAAAGTATTTCAGTATCCCCGCTGGTACTGCTGAGACGGTGCACTGTGCTGAGCTTCGAACTCGGACGTGGGTTAGAAGCGGAACGGAGCACTTATGGGTTACTACCCATGTGCCATTGTTCAAAATTAAAAAAAATTTTTTTATTATTCTTGTATATGGAAACTTATGTGACCTTTCTTCTGTATATCTTCTATATCTGAAAATATCTTCCTTTCAGAATCATGAGGGCCGAACCTTTTATGGTCCTGAATGTGGCCCACTGCACTGCCAAGCGAATCTCCACATTTGTCCGGGAAATAGACTTTGCTGTTGACTGGCAGATGCTCGAAGCTGGGAAAGCTCTGTTTAGGTCAGTTAACTCAGATTGTTTTTTTCCCCCCACATTTGTAGTTTTCCCCCTACATGATTTCAGTCTGTAGGATTACATGACATAACCCTTGACCCATTAGGGTCATGGAGGTGTATTGATGGATACACTAGCACATAAAACCCGCCAACTTTCTGTCTTCCGCTTGATAAAGCAGTGTATGATAGCTTAGTCCTGTCCATTTCTTGACGTTGTCATTCTAGTTTCTTCTTTGCCCTCCTCTTCTTTGACTACCTCCAAATGTTCCTTATAGTACAATCTTTGCAATCAAATCATGTCTCACCACGTGCACAGACCAAACTAGCTTGCGGCGTTTCACCACTACCATGAAAGGCTCCTGATGTCCCACAAATTTCTATATTTTGTCTCTGCCATATTTATTAGTTTTGTTTTCTAAATAACTGATTCGTAAAATACCTCTGTAGTATTACATTTAAAACCCTGAATCCTCCTTTCCATTTCCACAGTGAAAGTCCAACTCTCACACCCATATAAGAAAATAGACAACACCAGTGATTTGTAAATATTGACCTTGACTGCGATGCTGATTTTGCTCTCCCACATCGTATTCAGTAGTGACATCTCAAGGATGAGAAACAGACAGGAACAAATCCTGGAAAACTTTGTTCAACCATACAGCACAGTTATATTGGAGCACCATAAAATGGTGATAAACATACCTGTAGTCCAGTACGGGTGTCGGATCTGTGGCTAAGTCGATGCGAACGCTTCGCTTCGTAATGCCGGGATCCCAGGTTCGATCCCAGCTGCGGGCAATGAGCGTTGCATTGGTTTCAACAGTGGTATCAAGAAAGCCGACCATCCAGAAAGCATTGGCAAACTACTGGATGTAAATTGCCTAGAGAAACCACACAACAGCCAGGGGCTGTTAGGATTGATTTTGCAACGTCCTGTAAAGGATACGCAACTAACTTAGTCCAGTACGGGTAGGTCTTACTGGGATTGAGGTTTTAGTCAACCTTATGTTCAGTTGTCTCTGGAGATGGGGGTAAGGTTTTAGTCAACCTTATGTTCAGTTGTCTCTGGAGATGGGGGTAAGGTTTTAGTCAACCTTATGTTCAGTTGTCTCTGGAGATGTGGGTAAGGTTTTAGTCAACCTTATGTTCAGTTGTCTCTGGAGATGGGGGTAAGGTTTTAGTCAACCTTATGTTCAGTTGTCTCTGGAGATGTGGGTAAGGTTTTAGTCAACCTTATGTTCAGTTGTCTCTGGAGATGTGGGTAAACAGAGGAATAGGTCATATTTCCTGGAAACAAAAACAGTAAAATGCAGAGGTTATTAGGGGACTACAAATGAGAAGAGAAAGACTGAAAGAAATAAAGAAGAGACAACTGCCCTTTTTTGGCCACATTGAAAGACATAACATGCTTTTGAAGACAATACTGGAGGGAATGGTCGAAGGCAAGACAGCTAGAAGTGGGCAACGATACAAGTGGGAGGATAATATCAGGAGATGGACAGGCAGCAGTCTGAGAGAGTGTACAACCAGGACAAGAGACAACATGTTGGAGCTCTATTACAGCCAACCTTCACGAGGGAGACGGCACCTGGTTGATTGATTGACATTCAGTTATAAACTACAGTCACGCAGCCTTATTTCAGTACTGGTAGTTCCTGATTTGGCCTTTATTACGTTGCATTTTAAAAATTATTGTTGTGTGAAATGAAAAGGTTGATGATTTGCCATGTCCAGGGAGGCCAAGAGAGATGATGGTGGAAGGGCTGAAACGATGGCATGGAGGGATATCATCAAGAGAGCTGTTCCAGGCAACCAGGGATTGTGATCTGTGGAGATGCATGAACGCCTAGACCAGCTGGCAGGGCACATGATGATGATGATGGAGAACCTAGAGCGATCCTACCAAATACAAACTTCGAAACTGGCAAAGAGACTCCTACAATATGTGTCCATGAATTGCAACAACAAAACCAAAAAAAGGGGGGGTGGAGGAGGTGGGAATTGCTCATTATAGAAAAACTGCATTTTTTTTTTCAAAAAAAGCAAAAACTATATTTCCTCATTCAGTTAAAACAGTATTTCCTCATTGTGAACTTGAACACCACCGAAGATGGGAAATTGGATAAAGAAATTGACATTAGATGCAGTAAAGCAAACCAAGTATTGGGACAGCTAGCCCCCCTCTTACAGCATAAGACAATCCCAATCAGCACAAAGAGACATCTTATTCAAAGCATATTTATTCCAACTTTGTGCTACCAGTGCCAGACATGGTCACTCACAACAAACCATAAAAGAAAATTAGTAACCACGGAAATGAGATGTCTGAGAAGGGCTGTAGGAGTGACCATAAGAGATAAGATCAGAAATGAGATCATAAGAGAACAAGTCAGCACAGAACCAATTCTGGATTACATACAAAGACAGCAAGTGAAATGGTTTGCCCACTTAGAGAGAATGCCTTGTGACACCATACCATACAAAGCATACATGGGAAGAGAAGAAGGACGTAGAGCACGGGGTAGACCAAGAACAAGATGGAAGGATAACATCAGAGAAACTCTACAACAGCACGATGTGACTATGGTCGAGGCAGCCAGAAGAGCTAGAAACAGAACCTTATATCTCCCTCAACACTCACAGCGGTAAAAGAGGAAGTGAAGAAGAAGAACTTGAACACCATGCTTGAGGACCTTGATTTTGCAGATGATATAGCACTCCTATCACATAAACATGAACATATACAAGAAAAAAGTAACAGACTACACTGCACAGCAGAAATGGTGGGACTGAGAATATATACAAAGAAAACTAAGATCATGACAAGCAGTCCAAACCAACAACCAGTGACCATAAGTAACCAATCACTTAAAAATGTAGAGGGACAGAGGAAGACATATAGTCACGTCTGAACAAAGCTAGAGCTGCTTTTGGAAGGATGAGGCAAATCTGGAAATCCAACAATTACTACAGAGGAACGAAACTCCGACTCTACAAGAGCATCATTTTGCCAGTTCTTCTTTATGGAGCAGAATGCTGGAGAATGACCAAAAAGGATGCACACAAGCTGTCCACCTTCCACCACACATGTCTACGTAGAATTATCACAATTTTCTGGCCAGATACAATCTCAAACACTAAACTACTTCAAGCCACAAACCAAGAAACTTTAGACAGTATGATTACCAAGAGAAGATGGAAATGGCTTGGCCACGTTATGAGAATGACTTCTGATATACCTGCCAAAACAGCTCCCACATGGACACCAGAGGGAAAGAGAAAACAGGGGCGCCCAAAAACAACATGGAGACGAACGATGGAAAGTGACCTGAGTGTGGCATCTTTGACATGGAAAACTGCACTGAAGATTGCACAGGACAGGAAAGCATGGAAAGTCCTCCCTGAAGCCTCATGTGCCACTAAGCACAATGAGAACTGATGATGACTGATGATGAACTTGAACAGCTAAGACACAGATAGATTGCACAGTTGATTGCTTGGCATATTTCACTTGTCAGTTGCATACTACAGTAAGTTTTTTTTAAATGAAGCAGATAAATGAATCTTTCTAACTGAAACACATTGTTACAAACAGGCAGTTAATTTTTATTTTTTAATTTTTTTTTTAATGCAGATGTTTTATTTTCTCTTCACAATTTCTTGTATTCTAGACAAGGAGATCCAAGTGAAAGCATATACATAGTGCTGACGGGCCGGCTGCGGTCAGTCCTCACCACGGTGGGAGGCAAGAAGGAGCTGGTCGGGGAATTTGGCCGAGGAGAGCTTGTTGGGATTGTGGAAGTCCTGACACAGACAGAAAGAGCAACAACAGTTTTGGCTATCAGGTAATGATTTAACAGTGTTTGCTGTGATGGTTCGTTAATATGCATGGCACTTTCATCCTTTTGTAGCTCTGGTTCTGCTTAGATAGGATACATGCCATACTTCCCATGTATCACATCATATTGAACACGTGCTATACCAGCAGCCCACAACAGTTACTGTAATACTCTTATCTTTACCTACTCACTGCAGTAAAACATAAATACTGCTTACAAGACATTTAGGAATGTTTCCGGAATTCCCTCTTTTCTACTCTCCCCTTTGCAAACACACAAATACGAAGATCAGGAGTTGATCCTCACTCATTTTGGGGTCAATCCAGCTTCCTAACCTGAGATGTCTTTAGGAGAATGAAGGTCCGGACATCCAAAAGCTGGTAAGCCGATTAAAATTTCTTAAACTGGCTTTATAAGGGTTCTTCTTCTCTTTGTCCTCTACATACATAGAATTCAGATTTCGATGCTGTGACAGAAATATCTCATTCACTAACATGGTTTGACTCATGAAACAGAGAGACACTGATTTAGGAGTTCCTTGTGGATTTCATAAAATGTTCCTGGAAATATTATGCTTACTTGCTGCCAGTTTCACCAATGTATGCCATCTCATCTCTTTTGTAGATGATATGATAAATTACAATGCGGGATTTGCTAGTGAATGCATGCCTAATTTTAAAGATACTTTTCAGGAAGCTAACTGAATGGGTCTGAATAACAGGGTTGAATGTTGATTTAAGAACTGACTAAACAGTATTTGTGTCATTTCCATAAGCTCTCCATCCCCACTTTCAGCAGCAAGTGCAGAATTTCAATTGTGAAGGCACCAGTAACAGTCTGACTGTATATCTGTCTCACCTTTCTGTTGGTTTGTTATTTCCATGATTTATTTTTTCCATTTTACCTCAACTTTTTTTTATACGAGCACCTAAAAGATTTTTTCTAAAATACAATGAACAACACCCAAAAATAGTAAATCATCATCAACATCCTGTCTGACCTGAATATCAAAGAGAACTGGCTCATAACCAGCACCCTCTCCTGAAAGCTGAAGTATTTTGGACATGTCAAGCACCATGATGGTCTGGAGAGAACAGTGATGGGAGGTGCCGTTTCTGGAGAATGAGGCTGAGGCCAGCCTCCGTGAATGTTGATACAGGACATTCAAGATGCGTTGGCTATGAAAGCACACAGGACTGGAGATTTGGCTAGAGAGAGAGAGAGAGAGACTTTCCTGAAGAGAGAAACATTCTGTAAAGGACATAGTGATTGGTTATTGATTGATTAATTATTTCTGGGTGTTCGGTGTATTCTGGAAGCTTTTCCGGGTGCTTCTTATCGAGAAGATAATGCTCAGGTGGTGATGGAGGATTTTTGAAAACTTAGAAATCTTAAAGTATGAATGAAGGTCAGGATCAGTTTGTCTATGCAGAGATGGGGTGGGAATTCATTGGAAATGCTTGCGTCTGAGTTGCAATTGTATGCCTTTACTATGCTTCTTCTCAGATACTCTGCTCTTGTCTGCAATAAGTCTTCATAATTATTATGGCCTAGAGAGAATGAGGCACCTGGGTGTAACCAGAGGGTCAGGATGGCTCACTACACACAGAGGAAAGGCAAGACGGACATATATTCAGATTGTGACCAGTATCATCAGTATTGGAACTCTGTGCTGGCTGCTGAAGATGACGTAGTATGCATGGGAATACCCCGAGTGCTGTGATGTCAATTCTTGACTCAACTCGACTCAACTGCAATAAGTCTAGGGAAGTATATGAACATATCTCTCCATCTGTTATTTCAGAGATACAGAACTAACCAAAATCCCATCTGAGCTTTTGAACCTGATCAAACTACGCTACCCACAAGTGGTGACCAGACTGATCCATCTCCTGGGAACAAGGATCCTTGGCAACATCCAGCAGAAGAACACAGTGAGCCTCACTACAGGTCTTCCATTCCACAGTGGTATGTTGCTAGTTGATTTCCACAGATGTCATCTACATTTTATTTATTTTAAAGATTTGCTTAGATCTGTTGTTCCCTATTAGCTTAAACCAATCTTCTTAATGTCCATGCCATGTGGCATTAGTAGTCATGTCTAATCGCAATCTTCTGTCTCGTGTACTTTCAGTCAACTCTAATACAGATGATCCTCCATGCCATGTGACATTAGTAGTCATGTCTATCTACAACCTTCTGTCTCGAGTACTTTCAGTCAACTCTAATACAGATGATCCTCCTTGCCATGTGGCATTAGTAGTCATGTCTATCCACAACCTTCTGTCTCGTGTACTTTCAGTCAACTCTAATACAGATAATCCTCCATGCCATGTGGCATTAGTAGTCATGTCATTTCACAACCTTCTGTCTCGTGTACTTTCAGTCAACTCTAATACAGATGATCCTCCTTGCTATGTGGCATTAGTAGTCATGTCATTTCACAACCTTCTGTCTCATGTACTTTCAGTCAACTCTAATAGAGATGATCCTCCTTGCTATGTGGCATTAGTAGTCATGTCATTTCACAACCTTCTGTCTCGTGTACTTTCAGTCAACTCTAATAGAGATGATCCTCCTTGCCATGTGGCATTAGTAGTCATGTCTATCTACAACCTTCTGTCTCGTGTACTTTCAGTCAACTCTAATACAGATAATCCTCCATGCCATGTGACATTAGTAGTCATGTCTATCCACAACCTTCTGTCTCGTGTACTTTCAGTCAACTCTAATACAGATGATCCTCCATGCCATGTGACATTAGTAGTCATGTCTATCCACAACCTTCTGTCTCGTGTACTTTCAGTCAACTCTAATACAGATGATCCTCCATGCCATGTGACATTAGTAGTCATGTCTATCCACAACCTTCTGTCTCGTGTACTTTCAGTCAACTCTAATACAGATGATCCTCCATGCCATGTGACATTAGTAGTCATGTCTATCCACAACCTTCTGTCTCATGTACTTTCAGTCAACTCTAATACAGATGATCCTCCATGCCATGTGACATTAGTAGTCATGTCATTTCACAACCTTCTGTCTCGAGTACTTTCAGTCAACTCTAATACATATGATCCTCCTTGCTATGTGGCATTAGTAGTCATGTCTATCCACAACCTTCTGTCTCGTGTACTTTCAGTCAACTCTAATACAGATAATCCTCCATGCCATGTGGCATTAGTAGTCATGTCATTTCACAACCTTCTGTCTTGAGTACTTTCAGTCAACTCTAATACAGATGATCTTCCATGCCATGATATAGAACTGTCCTGCATTTTCTGTTTCAGTCTCTCTCTGTCTCTCTTCCCCTCCAACTTTCCTACTCTCACAATGTACTCCAGTTTTTCGTTTTTTCTCATGACATGACTAAAGAATGTAAATTGTCTCTTTCTGATGTGGGCAGTCAGTTCTCTTTCAATAATGAAAGTGAAACATTATTTGCAACTTTACAAAAGAGACAGTTTTCTTTGGTCATGTGATGAAATAAGAGCATTGAAAAACATGATGATGATAAACAAATGTGGTGGTAGAGGAGGCATAGACTGAGAGAAAGAGGCTGGATGGTTTAAGAGGCTGGATGGTTTAAGAGGCTGGATGGTTTAAGATGCTGGATGGTTTAAGATGCTGGATGGTTTAAGATGCTGGATGGTTTAGGAGGCTGGATGGTTTAAGATGCTGGATGGTTTAAGATGCTGGATGGTTTAAGATGCTGGATGGTTTAAGATGCTGGATGGTTTAAGATGATGGATGGTTTAGGAGGCTGGATGGTTTAAGAGGCTGGATGGTTTAAGATGCTGGATGGTTTAAGATGCTGGATGGTTTAAGATGCTGGATGGTTTAAGATGATGGATGGTTTAGGAGGCTGGATGGTTTAAGAGGCTGGATGGTTTAAGAGGCTGGATGGTTTAAGAGGCTGGATGGTTTAGGAGGCTGGATGGTTTAAGATGCTGGATGGTTTAAGAGGCTGGATGGTTTAAGAGGCTGGATGGTTTGAGATGCTGGATGGTTTGAGATGCTGGATGGTTTAGGAGGCTGGATGGTTTGAGATGCTGGATGGTTTAGGAGGCTGGATGGTTTGAGATGCTGGATGGTTTAAGATGCTGGATGGTTTAGGAGGCTGGATGGTTTGAGATGCTGGATGGTTTAGGAGGCTGGATGGTTTGAGATGCTGGATGGTTTAGGAGGCTGGATGGTTTGAGATGCTGGATGGTTTAAGATGCTGGATGGTTTAGGAGGCTGGATGGTTTAAGATGCTGGATGGTTTAGGAGGCTGGATGGTTTAAGATGCTGGATGGTTTAGGAGGCTGGATGGTTTAAGATGCTGGATGGTTTAAGATGCTGGATGGTTTAAGAGGCTGGATGGTTTAAGATGATGGATGGTTTGAGATGCTGGATGGTTTAAGATGCTGGATGGTTTAAGATGCTGGATGGTTTAAGAGGCTGGATGGTTTAAGATGCTGGATGGTTTAGGAGGCTGGATGGTTTAAGATGCTGGATGGTTTAAGATGCTGGATGGTTTGAGATGCTGGATGGTTTAGGAGGCTGGATGGTTTAAGATGCTGGATGGTTTAAGATGATGATGGATGGTTTAAGATGCTGGATGGTTTAAGATGCTGGATGGTTTGAGATGCTGGATGGTTTGAGATGCTGGATGGTTTAGGAGGCTGGATGGTTTAGGAGGCTGGATGGTTTAAGATGATGGATGGTTTAAGATGATGATGGATGGTTTAAGATGCTGGATGGTTTGAGATGCTGGATGGTTTAGGAGGCTGGATGGTTTAAGATGCTGGATGGTTTAAGATGATGATGGATGGTTTAAGATGCTGGATGGTTTAAGATGCTGGATGGTTTAGGAGGCTGGATGGTTTAAGATGCTGGATGGTTTAAGATGCTGGATGGTTTGAGATGCTGGATGGTTTAGGAGGCTGGATGGTTTAAGATGCTGGATGGTTTAAGATGCTGGATGGTTTAGGAGGCTGGATGGTTTAAGATGATGGATGGTTTAAGATGATGATGGATGGTTTAAGATGCTGGATGGTTTAAGATGCTGGATGGTTTAAGATGCTGGATGGTTTAAGATGCTGGATGGTTTAGGAGGCTGGATGGTTTAAGATGCTGGATGGTTTAAGATGATGATGGATGGTTTAAGATGATGGTTAGGTAAAGGGCATCAGTAGATCTGATCCCAAATAAAAGAGACCAGTATACCTACACTGTCTTATCAGGGGAAATTTTGATGATGAAGCATATCGATTCATACCAGATAATTTTTTTAGAATTTTTCCTCGCCAGTTCCTTGCCCACAAATAAATATTTATATTATGTGTGATTTGGTGTATACACAGTTCTGTTCTTGCAAATACCTCACAATTTATAGATATGCTTAAATTTTGGCGAGATTGTGGAAGCTCATATATTGTTGTTACCTTATTTTTTTTAACAGTATTAAACAGCATAATCTACTTGTTTAGATTCTCGTGTCCGTTTCAGGCCCTATTTTTGAGGTTAAGAGGATAGACATGCTGCCTTTCTAACAAGCATGTTGTGACTAAATGCAGGTATTTCCTTTGAAGTCAGAGTGCTTCTGCCTGAGAGGCAAGGAACCAACATTGTGCGCATACATAAGCCAGATTTGTCAAACAGATGTGCATGCAAGACTCAAATTCTGGAACTAGACTAAGTGGAGGATAACCAAAGTTTCTGCGGGACTTTACACGAAGAAGAAGAAAAAGACTTGTTTTAGAAAGTTTTAGAAAAAATTGTATCCATAAGCTGGGTTCTAGTTATTGTACATCCACTTATCTGCCCGGCTCATTAGAACAGTTGGCTAAATCGGACTGTGCGGCAACCGGGTGATAAACTCCTTGTGGTCCGGACTCACGCCCGGGAGTAGGCAGAAAAGCAACATTTCTCCCAGATTTACGGTATCTGTCATGGAATCGGGGCTAAAGGGTTGCAACATCCATATTACATACCCAAAGGGTTAACAACTCATGGTTTCTGGATACTTGAAAAAAAAAAAATCATGATTTATAAATTTTGATTGCTGCAGATTCCTATAAAAAGATGGAGAGAAGCACAGTTGACAATCTGGCAACAATTGCTATAGTGCCTATCACAGAGGATGTGCCACTGACCAACTTTGCTCTTGAGCTGCAGCATGCATTGTTGAGCATTGGTAAGGTACCTGGCAGGCTTTGCCATTTGTGTCTACTTGTTTAGTTTTAAAAACAAAAGTTAGTTGTGTCTCCTTTACAGGACATTGCAGAACCAGCCCCAGCAGCATTATTTGGCTGTTGTGGTTTTTTCCCTAGGCAGATTTACGTCCAATAGATGGCCATTGCTTTCTAGATGGTTGGCTTCTCGATACCACTGTTGAAACCAATGCAAGGTGCAAGGCACGCAGCTGGGATTTAACCCGGCACCCCGGCATTACAAAGCTACTTGTTTAGTAGTTCCATACTTTTTTCCTTAATAAACTTATGGAGTGTTCATCTGAAACTAGTTAGTGCAGCACCATGCTCAGTTGTGCTAGTATTGACCATGATTATGTCATAATCATATGTTAAGTACTGCTAGTATAAAACAAAGATTTGTTACCTTTGAAAAAAATGGCCTGGTCACTCCAAAATCTGCTTTTAAAAGCTCAAAGAGGGATGGTTTAGTTTCTGTCATTTGAAACATACTATTCCTTCACTTGTCAATGCAGAGAATACCAGAAGTGGTTTGTAGGAATACTAAAATAGCAATGGGATGCTTGCCTGAATGCCTGTGGCCCTTTTTGTCTGACGAATCCATTGTGCAGTATTAATTCTTCTTCTTTTGCGTTCCTCCGAAAACGTAATTGTGTTGTGCCCATTAACAGCTTGGCTGCGATATATGCACCTTTTGGCGGACACGTTCAACTTCTGCACGCCTTTGTTGACTGGGTTAGCCTTCATGGCATTATTCAATCAGACTGAAGGCTGTTGATGTTTCTTTCCTGCTTTTATAATAAATGCCATTGGAAGAGGTCTGAGAGTAGTGCTCTGTATAGTTTTCAATAAGTAAAGGACCCTTGTCACACCTTTGCCACATCAAGAACATAGTTGAAGGCCTATATTTGTATAGACCAGCCAGCAGTCAGGGTGATGAAGGCAACATCATTTCAGCGCCTTTACTTCCCAGAACATTACCTGTTATCCATTTTAGGCTGGGTTGACCTTGGAGTCATAGTCAGTTTTGATAAGACACCCCCCCCCCCCCCCTCGCGACCATTCTAGTCACTACACTACTGCAAATCCCCATATCTTTTTAATGGATGCTGGGGGGAAAAAGTAACGGAACCTTTACCTCACCTTCACTTCTATAAGATCTGTGATGTATGCGTGAAAAAAGAACTGTGATGTGTTTGTGTGCGATAAGATCTGTGATGTGTGTGTGCAGTAATATCTTGGATGTGTGTGTGTGTGCTCGATAATATTTATGATGTGTGCGTGCGATAAGATCTGTCATGTGTGCGTGCAATATTATCTGTGATGTGTGTGTGCGATATTATCTGTGATGTGTATTTACGATAAGATCTGTGTTAGGTCTGCTCAAATACCCTTGTACACTCCTTTGTCCCTAACCCTAACCCTTACCCTAACCCTAACCCTTACCCTAACCCTTACCCTAACCCTTACCCTAACCCTTACCCTAACCCTAACCCTTACCCTAACCTTTACCTTTACCCTAACCCTTACCCTAACCCTTACCCTAATCCTAACCCTTACCCTAACCCTAACCCTTACCCTAACCCTAACCCTTACCCTAACCCTAACCCTTACCCTAACCCTTACCCTTACCCTTACCCTTACCCTAACCCTTACCCTAACCCTAACCCTAACCCTTACCCTTACCCTTACCCTAACCCTAACCCTTACCCTTACCCTTACCCTAACCCTTACCCTAACCCTAACCCTTTGTCCTGAGCTGCCACACATATCCAGCTTTTTGACACCATCACTTTTTTTTTTGTACATTTACCCTCAGCCCTTTGTGAGTGATATGGTCAAAATGGTATTGGCCGCCTTTACTCCCAGAACATTTCCTGATGTTATTTATTTTAGGTTTGTAGTCCAGGTCAAATTATTGCTTTCAGGAGGATTGAAGTCAGCTTCTGTGGCTTAGGCATTGGTAGCGAGCTTCATAATTCCAGGGTGCCAGGTTCGATCCTAGGTGCGGACGGTTTGTCTTGTGTTGGTTTTGACAGTGGTACGGAGAGCTGACCGTTCAAAAAGCAGTGGCAAACTACTGAACGTAAAATTTGCCTAGAAAAACCAAAACAGCCACACACACAAAATGCTGAATTTGGTTCTGCAACGTCCTGTAAAGAATATGCAACTAACTAGGAGGATTGAAACATTGCCAGCAGGCAAGACTGCCAGCCATTGCATTACTGCAGTTCCTAGATAGATTGATAGATATCCTCTGGACATATTACAATGCAATGATGATGTTGCTGTCCAGAATTTATATGACACTGGATAATGTAAAAACATTTTTTTTTATTCTCCTATTTCTTATTCTTTTTTTCTTCTTTTATGACTCCTTTTTCTTCTTCTCTTTTTCTTCTTCTCTCCTTGTTTCTGTCTTCTTCTCTTCCTTCTGTCCTTCTTTTTTTTTTTTTCAAGAAGAAATACGTTTTACAGGCTTATTTGACAGTGCTAAGATAATTATTTTGAAGTTATTTTTTAAAGCTGCATTTTTGTTTTTATGTATTAACCACCCTAGGTCCGACTGTACGGTTGACACCAGATATTGTCAAAGCCAGGCTTGGTACAGCTGCTTTAGAGGGGTATGTAATAGGCATGTGTGCTAGTTTGTGTACATTGAATACAGTTTATTAAATTGAACATTTTATTTTGTCAGTCTGGGAAAAAAAGCATATCGTAAAAGGCGATTATTTAATGATTTGCTAAAAATCATATATGTTGATATATAAAATCGTAAACACAATCTTTTTACCAACATTGTGTTACCAATGCCAAACCTGGGCATTAACAAAAGAAACTAACGACGTGTGAAATTAGATGTTTGCGAAAAGCAGTCAGCATAACCAGAAGAGACCATAAGAGAAACGAAGATGTAATTAAAATGGTGGGAACAACACCTGTAATTAGATATATTGAAAAACAAAGACTGAAATGGTTTGGCCATCTGGCCAGAATTAACCCATCATCACCGGTTAAAAGCACATACAAGATGAGGATAAAAACATCAAAAGGCAGAGAAAGGCCAAGAAGAAGATGGATAGATGGAGTTAACAACTTGCTGAAACTCAACAATATCACCATTTAGCAAGCTAATGAGGGTTCCAATGCTAATGGTGCCAGTAGCATAACGTCCATCTTGCCTTCTCTTCTAAGCCTCGAGCATCAGCCAGAACCCATCGTCACTCCCTGCTGCATCAATCTCACCAGACTGTGGTGATCCATCTGCTCCTCCAAACTGTAAACGCTCTCCCACAAGGCACAAGGCATCAGTATTCCACCATGGATTGTGCAGATGAAGCCTCTTATTGATTCAGCAGACAAGAAAGCAATTACCAGCAGGCTGTATGTAGAGCTTCGAGCAAAGCAGGGCACTTTAGATGCCTTAGTCATCCACTGCACCTAAGTCCATATCCAATCGTCTTGACATTGTCCTGCCATTGGATCAAGATAAACACAGGTGAGAGAGTGAGATCGAAGTCTTGCTCAACTCTTCCTCACTTAAATTCAAGTCATTGCACAAGTCACTTTCATCCAGCTATACTTTGGATGAAAGTGGTCTATCACTCATGATGGACGGATAACGCAACACATTCCACCAAGTTGTGCAGAGCCAGTCAGTCTGTCCACCTGTTCATTTCCCAACACACCGGCATCTCCTGGAAATACAGACAGTACTCCTCACCCGTCCTGTACTACAGTTATTATAATTCACTTGCATTGTTCAAATGATTGGCAGTTAAGACAGATTTTGGCATGGTTTACTACATGATTAGGAGCTGAGGTGATGTAGCAACTGATTGAAAGGTCTTAATGCTCAAATCCACATTGTGCCTGATTTCTTTCACAAATGACCTTGACTGCCAGGTCAGCCCAGCCTAAAATAAGTGAGATAAAGTCCTGGGAAGTAAAGATGGTTGGCATGATGTTGACAAAACTCACTGAGAGCTGATTGGTCTGTATAAATATGAGTCTCTAGCATCATATGCCAGGCTAACAAGTAAAGGGTCCTTGACTGTTTACATGTTGTGTGTGTGTGTGTGTGTGTTTTTTTTTTTTTTTTTTTTTTGCTTTATGATTAGATGTCAGTTGTCTCCCTTAATATACAGTAGTTGCCTCCCCTTGTGCCATCCTCAGGGTGAATGAGTACCGGCTCTTCAGTTGGCTGAGCCAGCAAGAGGATATCCATCGAATGGTGCTCTACCAGTGCGATTACCAACTGAGCAAGTGGAGCAAGCATTGTCTGAGGCAGGCAGACTGCATCCTTATTGTTGGTTTGGCAGATAAAGAACCCACTATAGGGCCTGTGAGTTTTTGGGTAGTTTTCGTACTGACGTTTTTCTGTGTGGGTTCCAGGCTCCTGGGGTGGGGTGGGATGGGGGGGGGGGAGAATAGATCCACTGCCCTTCAACAAGCTGTTGAAAAAAAACAACTAATTAGGGGTGTTTCCTATGAGTCAGGGTGCATCTGTCTGAGTGGTAAAGAACCAACAGTCTGCATACAAATAAGCCAGATATGAAAAATGGATGTGCATGCGGAACTCAAATTCTGGAACAAGATTAAAGTCCAGCAGTGGATAAACAGCCAGAACTTTGTGCTGCAGTTTACAGCCAGTGAACACGAAGAAGAAGATAATGAGAGTAGCCGTTAAGTCTTTAAAGCTCACTTGCTCTATTTGTGAAATATAAATCTGTTTAACTCTTTCAGTCCAGATTATGTGTTACTTCAGCACTCTGTCCTCATCTTCAGCAGAAAGCTGCCTGATTGTATATTCGTCTCCCCTTTCCCTTGAGTGTTGAGTGTTCGGCCAGATACCCTGGACAGTAATTATCTGTTTGTGCATCCACGCTGTTTACTGGCTCCCAAACAGCCCTCACAACATTTAGCTTGTCATACATCAGTTCACCACTAAGTGATTGATGCAGAACCGGGCAGTCTATCTGCCTGCTTGTTTCCCAACTCACCGACCTGACCTGGAGAAAATATCCAAAGGACGCTAACTATCGGGGACCTCTGAAGCGATGCTTGCCACTCTGCACGGAGCATGTCTATCTCCACCTTTCTGAAACTGCTCTGTGAGTCAGTTACAATGATGACATGTAAGTGCAGCTCATTCACAAGCCAGTAGAAGACAGCATTGACTACCTCCCTTCCCAAACTGGACATTATAATATCATATACCAGGTTTTGCTGCACTAAGTGAAATCCAGTTGCTTCTGCTTTGAACCATCATGCACTTCGTCTGCCTCTCAACACAGAGCCACCTCTTTAGATTTAAACAATGCAAACACAGCGTCTTACAGCATGCATTGCTTGGCATATTTCACTGTATCTCGGCAGATGCATTACTAGAGTTACATCAACATATAATGGGCACAAAACGGGAATCATTTTCATTGAAATACACAAACCATTGTCTTGAGGTACACTGTACACCTGACAATAAGTACAAGATCAGCCACATAGTTCCCACAGAAGATTTGAGATTGTTTGTTTTAATTGTCACAGCTTCTGCTAATTTCAGTAATCACCTATTCATTATGTGAACTGAAAAGACACAATGCCTAGGCTCTATATAAATGACCATGAAATTACAACAGAGGGTGTTTGGAAACTAACTGTGGCTGTCCTTGTATTCAGAGATGATACTTGGTGATATTGTCATAAGCTAGTGTTAGTCATTGTTTTTAATCGGGGAAAGGGGGGGGGGGGGGGGGGGGGGGGCTTTGAGGTCATTGAGAAAATATACAATAGTCTGAGATGATTTGTTTGAAAGCTGTAGCTTTCTTACTTTGTATAGCATGTCCTCTAATCCACTGCTTCTGTGCCGGCTGATAAATAATTGCACATTTGTTTATCACCTTGTTAACAGTGCATGTCTTTTTTCTTCTTAATATTTTTGTTGTTGCTTTCTTTAGATTGAGAAGGAGTTGGAGAGCATTGCTGTACGGGCACAGAAAGAATTAGTTCTGCTGCATAAAGAGGATGCGGAGACGGCCAGAAATACCAGTGAGTGGTTGAATGTTAGAGGCTGGCTGTCGTCTCACCACCACATCCGCTGTCCTAAAAGAGTGTTCAAAGTCAAGAATCCAGCCAAAACAGTGAGTTTGTGTGTTTTTATGACCGGGTACACAGGTCGCATGGATCGGTGCACAGGTTGCATAGATGATACAGGTTGCATGCATGGGTACACAGGTTACATGGATGGGTGCACAGTTCGCACGGGTGACTACACACGCCACATGGGTGAATACACACGTCACATGGGTGAATACACATGTCACATAGATGGGTACCAAGGACACATGAATGAGTTACATATGCCACATGAATGAGTTACACATGCCACATGAATGGGTTACATATGCCACATGAATGAGTTACAAATCTTTTGTCTTCATAGCATTCAATGGCCATAAACTCTGGCAGAAAGTTCTGGTTGTTTGTCTACTTCTGGATTTTGCTCCTGTTCTAAACTATACTATCCCCCCCCCCCCCACCCACTCCACTCACTCACTCCACTCTCTTTCTCTCTCTCTCACACTCTCTCTCACTCACTCACTCTCTCACTCACACACACACACACACACATTGGGGCACTTGAATCTGCATGTGGATAGAAACGTATAAGATGGGATAGATAGGTACATCTCCAAAATGCCTGTGCTGTTGAACTCAAGGAGGGATCCAAACTAAAACCTACAACCTTCAAGTGCACAGTGCATGAGACAGTTTGGCCCCTTTGCCACACAGAGACCTTTTCTATAACAGCTAGAACTGTAATAGTTGTATTTCTCAGTCACTGGAATTGTTTTTATTTTATTTTTTTTCCACTAGAATTTATTTTAAAAAAATCTTTTTTAAATCTACAGTTGGACTTGTATGAACGTTTGTTTGAGAGACCAGCTGACAGAATGGCTGATTTTTCCCGCCTTGCTCGCTTTCTTACAGGCACCTCCATTGGGCTGGTTCTAGGAGGAGGTGGGGCCAGGTTGGTTGGGTTTTTTATTTTTATTTTTTATTGTTTAAACCAAAAAGATTAAAAAGCTGAGAATATAAATGAGTAGGAATGAAGTTGTGTATTATGTAAATATAAAAGCTGTTAATTAAAGATTAAGTATTTGGATGGTTAAAATAAAATATGTATCTGTATGTGAGAAGTAAAGTGAGAAAGTTTTTTTTTTTTTAAACTGTATGATGTCTCCGCTTTGGAGGTTGGCTGCACTATATCGCTCATCTGTAGTGGTCACGGAAGTCCGCTGCCATAAAAGTCTTACATCCGTAATGAGCAAAGTACTCATGTTGTGTGGCTTCTAAAAGTATAACTCATGATGAATGAGAGGCTCAATATATGGAAGTGAGGTTAAACAGACAGGACAGTTCCTTGCGTGAGCTCGGTAGCAGTGAGTACAGGAGTAAAGGACCATTGCCCACACCTTTAGGCGTATTGGGCATATTGGGCTAAACCTAAATTTTATAGACCAATCTGCACTCAGTCGGTGATGTGGTGAACATCATGCTGGTCACTTATAAGGTTGGGTTGACCCGGGAGCCAAAGTAATTTTTAAAAAAGTCAGACTTCATCAGAACCCAAACACATGACCTTCAGATCCACAGACAGGTGTCTAGCTGCTACACCAAGGCGGCTCCCTCAGTACCAGAGCACTGTGTATTTTCTTTGCATTTATTGAAGCCTCCTGGGGAGGAAAAGGGGGGGGGGGGGTGCCCATGTTCTGCTGCTGCCTTCTCTTGAGGGCTGACCAGCTCTGGACTGGCCTGACTGACCTGTAAACTAGGAAACAAGAGATGACCACTCAACAGTGAGACTGCAGTGTCCCACGAAACTAAGCACAAAGGCTAACCCAAGCAACACATGCCTGCAGAAGTTGGATGTGTGGGTCGAAAGGCACAAATTTCACTGCCATGTTGTAAACGGATACAACACATTTACATCTTCGGATGAATGCAGAAGGAAAAACTGCCCTCTTTGGAAATATTATTTACTGAGGCTCCCGTCTCTTAGACAGTTTGACCTTCGTACTGTCTTCTCAGCACCATGCATTGATTTTTAAATATATTTTTTTTTTGGTAGTAAACCGTCTGCCTTAGAAATTGAACCCTAGTATTTTTTAATCTTGAAATTGTTAAACTCATTGACTAACCTCTGAGCCAAAGAGTCTCAAAGTTTTTTAAAGAACAAAAACATAATTTATTATGCAGTGTGAAGACATTGTTAAAGTACCTTCCAGATTCCTGCCCGGATTAAAAAATGTGTAACTCAGTAACTAACCATTCAGTGTAATTTGGCAACCAGCCTGTTAATCATGTCCTTGTAAGAATTTTTTTTAATGGAAAGTAGCGGGGAATGGAAAGGGAGAAGCAACAATGAAATTCATAATCTGATTAAATCACCATTGATCACTGGCATCATGAGAGCTAATAGACTGAAATGGTTGGGGCATATTGAAAGATGTCAGATGACAGAGAAGTAAAAACTGTATACACATAGATGAATGGTCGTAGACCACGAGTCAGACCAAGAAGGTGATGGAGAGATAATGTCCAGATAGACCTGCAAACACTCTGTGTCACCAACTGGAAAGAGAAGGCCAAACAGAGAAATGAATGGAAGCAGGTGATATATGCAGCAATGAACCTCAAGGGCTCGGAAGGCTAAAGAAGAAGAAGAATGTAAGCAAACATCTAGTTTTTATTATGCATTTTTATGGTACATGAAAAAAAAAACTGCTACACATTCAAAGCAAACAGTCAGCAAGCTTACAGTTAATTGAGTAACAGAAACTTTTCAAAGATCACACACGTTTCATAAATGTTTCACTCTCAGGTGATCATCTCCATCATTAGCCTCCCGTGAGTTACATGAACAGTTTTTCATTGTATGCAGGATTGGCTATCAAAATAATTACCATGCATTACTGCACATGTGAAATGATTTGCAAACAATTTCCACTAGTCTGTTACTCTGTATTCTGTATTTTAGAGGTTTACAAGTTATTAGTCAGACAAAGATAAAAGACATTCACAGCTTTAAGAAAACAGCAACACCTATGCAATTGTGAATAAAAAATCATAAGGACATGGGAAATCTAAGACCACATTCTGCCGGAGTTTACACAAGTGAACTCAAAAACAGAGACAAAGTATATAATTGAGAATTGGTTCTGTGGAGATTTCTTCTCATGACATCTTTTCTGATGTTATCTCTTCTGGTCACTCCTGCAGCTCTTCTCAGACATCTCATTTCCATGGTTACTAACTTTCTCTTATGGTTTGTTGTGAGTGACCATGTCTGGCACTTGTAGCAGAGGGTGAGAATGAATTGGTCACATAGTAAATAATGATTAACCCTACCTCCTGAACAGAGGGCTGGCTCATGTTGGCATGATACAGGCAATGCAGGAAGAAGGCATCCCTATTGATATGATTGGAGGTACAAGTATTGGGTCCTTCATTGGTGCTCTGTGGGCTGAGGAAAGAGGCTACGTCAGGTTCAAACAGAGGGCCAGGGAATGGGCCATGGTGAGTGAATCAGATCCGTCTTTGTGTTGCTGTGTTGTAGCATGTTGTTATATCTGACAGTCAGTCAGTTACATAGTGTCTCATGCCATTCTGAGTCAGTTTTTTTTTTTTTTAAATAGACTTGTGATGACTTTTAGGAATGTCAGCATATTGTATAAAGAGTTCTGTTTCTGCTTTATAAATTTACTTTTGTTATTTACTTTTTTTTAATTTTAATTATAGCTTAGTGGTTGCCTCTTTCCTTACAAGTCAGTGCTTTACAGTATAGGCATTTCTTCTGCTACTAAATCTGCATTGAGCGGGTTTTTTCAAAACTGAACTTGGCTACCTGGTTGACCTAGCGTAAAATGAGTAGAGGTAATGTTCTGGGAAGTAAAGGTGGCCAGTGTTATATTTACCACTTCATCCCGTGAGTGCTGATTTGTCTATAAAAATACTAATCTGGCATCATATACCATATGCACCATTAGCATAGAAAAGAGGTACCTTTACTTTACTATACTTACATGCAACAAAAATAAACAGTTTTAGAACATGGCACATGGACATGTGTTTCACCATGTGGACAGCTCTTGGGCTTTTATAGTTCAGGTTGGAATTAGGTAGCAAGATTCTGGTACTGGTGCCTTGACCACAAGTAGTATTGACTGTGGAGGTCATGGCAGTGACCAAGGCAATAATGTGGCTGGAGAGACAGGTTTTCAACCACACATGCTTTATAGTAACTCAACCAGTATGCTCAGAAAGGTAGGGATGGTTGGAGTCTCTGAAGCGGTAAGGACTGACAAATATCAATTAAATATTCGTGCCAGGGTGCGCAGTATGCAAGCAAATGAGCAAGCTGATAGGCTACTGTGGAGGATGGATGAGTGTTGCCTGATTTCTCTCCATGGCATATTGTGTTCTCTTACAAAATTTAGTCAGAAGATGTTAAGAAAATCTGGCTTCCCAACTGGTAGTTACCATTGTGTATCTTGCCACTTTGAAAATATAAATGATTTTTTCTTCATTGTCATTTCTTTCTTTTGGAATCTCCTGTGAAGACTGTTTCTGTAAAAGCTAGTAAAACAGAAGAATGGGATGGAAGTTTAGAAATAGATTCTAAGCATAGAGCCGTCTGTACAAATATTGTGTTTCATAGTACTGAAATAATTAAAAAGAAATATACTGCCTTTCTTTAAGACCTATAAACATCAGAGAAAAACTGAGTTATAAACAGTATCCAGCATTTTCTCTTTGTATTTTGTGACCATTTCCTGTTGTATTTTATGATACTTTTCTGTTATGTTTTATTGCTCATTTTTGTTGTATTATATGATCATATCCTGTTATATTTCATGAGCCTCTGCACTGCATTTTGTGATAATTTCCTGCTGTATTTTGTAATAATTTCCTTTGTATTCTGTGATCATTTCCTGTTTATTTAATGATCATGTCCTGTTGTATTCTGTGATCATTTCCTGTTTATTTAATGATCATGTCCTGTTGTATTCTGTGATCATTTCCTGTTTATTTAATGATCATGTCCTGTTGTATTCTGTGATCATTTCCTGTTTTATTTAATGATCATGTCCTGTTGTATTCTGTGATCATTTCCTGTTTATTTAATGATCATGTCCTGTTGTATTCTGTGATCATTTCCTGTTTATTTAATGATCATGTCCTGTTGTATTCTGTGATCATTTCCTGTTTATTTAATGATCATGTCCTGTTGTATTCTGTGATCATTTCCTGTTTATTTAATGACCATGTCCTGTTGTATTCTGTGATCATTTCCTGTTTATTTAATGACCATGTCCTGTTGTATTCTGTGATCATTTCCTGTTTATTTAATGATCATGTCCTGTTGTATTCTGTGACCATTTCCTGTTTATTTAATGATCATGTCCTGTTGTATTCTGTGACCATTTCCTGTTTATTTAATGATCATGTCCTGTTGTATTCTGTGATCATTTCCTGTTTATTTAATGACCATGTCCTGTTGTATTCTGTGATCATTTCCTGTTTATTTAATGATCATGTCATGTTGTATTCTGTGACCATTTCCTGTTTATTTAATGACCATGTCCTGTTGTATTCTGTGATCATTTCCTGTTTATTTAATGATCATGTCCTGTTGTATTCTGTGATCATTTCCTGTTTATTTAATGATCATGTCCTGTTGTGTTCTGTGACCATTTCCTGTTTATTTAATGACCATGTCCTGTTGTATTCTGTGACCATTTCCTGTTTATTTAATGATCATGTCCTGTTGTATTCTGTGACCATTTCCTGTTTATTTAATGACCATGTCCTGTTGTATTCTGTGACCATTTACTGTTTATTTAATGATCATGTCCTGTTGTATTCTGTGACCATTTCCTGTTTATTTAATGATCATGTCCTGTTGTATTCTGTGATCATTTCCTGTTTATTTAATGACCATGTCCTGTTGTATTCTGTGACCATTTCCTGTTTATTTAATGACCATGTCCTGTTGTATTCTGTGACCATTTCCTGTTTATTTAATGATCACGATTCTGTGATCATTTCCTGTTTATTTAATGACCATGTCCTGCTGTATTCTGTGACCATTTCCTTTTGTAATTCAGGGTATGACTTCTTTATGGAAAAAGATTTGGGATCTGACTTACCCTGTTGCATCCATGTTCACAGGTGAGATATGTGCATCATACCGTCTAGTATCTTTGATACCCATTTGTAATCAGTTACTTATATATCAGATGAGGTAGTATATTATGTAACACTGCCAGTAACAGCCTTTGTCATACCACTTTCGTGGTGTAGGCAGAGGGTCTTTGAGCCTGAAGATTTAAGGATGCATGGCTAGTGCTGTCGCTTTAGGGCCCAGTGTTCTAACCATTCGGCCAGCCGCTCCTGTATATTATGTAGCAGAAGTAAACGCCTGTTTCCTCAAAGCCATGAGTTTCAGTCATATTAAGGGAGGAATTTTTCTTAGTACTGATCTGAGCTCGTAGATTGACTCGGTCCTAAATATATGCCAGGAAATGTTTTACTATGGAAAGAAAAAACATATTGACAACATCTCCCTTGCGAGCCTAATTGGTGTATTAACATATAAGACAAGTGCCATGTACCTGAAGTACCTTGAGACATGAAAAACATTCTTTACTTGACTCCCAGGTCGACCCAGCCTTGAGTGGGTGCCGGGTGCAGTCCCGGGAAGTAAAGGCGGCCGGCGTGATGCTGACCACATCACCTGTCTTGTGCTGATTGGTCTATAAAAATATAGGTCTAGCCCTATATGCCCTATACACCTAAAGGCGTGGAAAAGGGACATTTACCTTTACTTACTCTAAGAAAGAGCTGCTGGAACACATTAACCACGCACTCAGAATGAATAAGACAAGACTCCCCCATCAAGCCCTCATATGGACACCAGAAGAGAAAAGACAAGACCCCCCCCCCCCCCCCCCCCCCCATCAAAGCCCTCTCATATGGACACCAGAAGAGAAAAGAAAGACCCCCCCCCCCCTACTCCTCCCCCCCCCCCCCCCCCCCCTTGTCAAGCCCTCATATGGACACCAGAAGAGAAAAGACAAGACCCCCCCCCCCCCCCCCCCCCCCCATCAAGCCCTCATATGGACACCGACACCAGAAGGGAAAAGACCAGACTCCCCCCCCCCCCCCCCCCCCCCCAAAGCCCTCATATGGACACCAGAAGAGAAAAGACAAGACCCCCACATCAAGCCCTCATATGGACACCAGAAGAGAAAAGACAAAAATTTCTCAGCTGATTCTGCCTTGGGATTTGTCTTCGCATTAACTGAATGTAATCTCTGGGAAAGGGGGGGGGGGGGGGGGAATTCTGGTTGTGTCCACTTCTAGACTATTATGGTCTTGTTCCAGAACTTGAGTGTTGAGTGAAATCTGTTTTACAGATCTGGCTTACTTGCATGCAGACTGTTGGTACCTCACCTCTCTCATAAATGCACTCCATCTTCAGACGAAACACCTCTAATTAGTCCACTTTTGTGATATGCTTGTTAGGAGGGTGGTGGTTCTGTTTCTTTTTTCCCTACTATGGGGGGGGGGGGGGGGGGGGGGCGGAACTCAGGGGGTGATAGTTGTGGGTTTTACCTAGTTACATGACCTGGTTTAACCTTTAGAATTTTCTGGGAAGGAAAAGTAGTGAACAGGGGATATAGGGCTACTTTTAATCGTATAAACTCATTGGCACTCTGTGGGTGATGTGGTCTTTACTTCCCAGGACATTTCCTGGTACTTATTTCCGGCTGGGCTGACTTCATGTGGATGCCACTGTTATCATAAGTTTTCTCTTACTTGTGTGTTTTTAATATTTACAGGTTGGGCTTTCAATGAGTCTATAGAAAGTGTGTTCCATGACCGTCAGATTGAAGACTTGTGGATCCCATATTTCTGTATAACAACAAACATATCTAACTCCACCATGAGAGTCCATTCTGCAGGTAAAACCCACTGAGGCAGTTAAACATTTAGACATACAGTTGTTTAGGGAGTTTAGGCAATTATATATGGAGCTTGACACTTATTTGGGCCGCTTGGACAGTTTTTTTTTGGGGGGGGGGGGGGGGGGCAGCTTGAACAGTTATTTAGGCAGTTTAGACACATATTGGAGCAGCGTGGACAGTTATTTAGGCAGTTTAGACACGTATTGGAGCAGCGTGGACAGTTATTTAGGCAGTTTAGACACGTATTGGAGCAGCGTTGAGTTATTTAGGCAGTTTATAGACACGTATTGGAGCAGCGTGGACAGTTATTTAGGCAGTTTAGACACGTATTGGAGCAGCGTGGACAGTTATTTAGGCAGTTTAGACAAGTATTGGAGCAGCGTGGACAGTTATTTAGGCAGTTTAGATAGTTATTGGAGCAGCGTGGACAGTTATTTAGGCAGTTTAGATAGTTATTGGAGCAGCGTGGACAGTTATTTAGGCAGTTTAGACAAGTATTGGAGCAGCGTGGACAGTTATTTAGGCAGTTTAGACAAGTATTGGAGCAGCGTGGACAGTTATTTAGGCAGTTTAGACAAGTATTGGAGCAGCGTGGACAGTTATTTGGGCAGTTTAGACAAGTATTGGAGCAGCGTGGACAGTTATTTAGGCAGTTTAGACACGTATTGGAGCAGCGTGGACAGTTATTTAGGCAGTTTAGACACGTATTGGAGCAGCGTGGTCAGTTATTTAGGCAGTTTAGACACGTATTGGAGCAGCGTTGACAGTTATTTAGGCAGTTTAGACACGTATTGGAGCAGCGTGGACAGTTATTTAGGCAGTTTAGACACGTATTGGAGCAGCGTGGACAGTTATTTAGGCAGTTTAGACAAGTATTGGAGCAGCGTGGACAGTTATTTAGGCAGTTTAGATAGTTATTGGAGCAGCGTGGACAGTTATTTAGGCAGTTTAGATAGTTATTGGAGCAGCGTGGACAGTTATTTAGGCAGTTTAGACAAGTATTGGAGCAGTGTGGACAGTTATTTAGGCAGTTTAGATAAGTATTGGAGCAGCGTTAACAGTTATTTAGGCAATTTAGACAAGTATTGGAGCAGCGTGGACAGTTATTTGGGCAGTTTAGACAAGTATTGGAGCAGCGTGGACAGTTATTTAGGCAGTTTAGACAAGTATTGGAGCAGCGTGGACAGTTATTTGGGCAGTTTAGACACGTATTGGAGCAGCGTGAACAGTTTTTTAGGCAGTTTAGACAGTAATTTTGGCAGTTTAGACAGTTAGCTAGGCTGTTTGGACAGTTATTTAGACAGCTTGGACAGTTGTTTGGGCATCTTGGACAGTTGCTTAAGCATCTTGGACAGTTATTTGGCAGCCTGGACAGTTGTTTAGACAGCTTAGATATTTAAGCAGTTTGGACTGTTGTTTGGCAGCTTGGACAGTTGTTTGGGCAGCCTAGACAGTTGTTTGGGCAGCCTGGACAGTTGTTTGGCAGCTTGGACAGTTGTTTGGGCAGCCTGGACAGTTGTTTGGGCAGCCTGGACAGTTGTTTGGCAGCTTGGACAGTTGTTTGGCAGCCTGGACAGTTGTTTGGGCAGCCTGGACAGTTGTTTGGGCAGCCTGGACAGTTGTTTGGGCAGCTTGGACAGTTGTTTGGCAGCCTAGACAGTTGTTTGGGCAGCTTGGACAGTTGTTTGGCAGCTTGGACAGTTGTTTTGGCAGCCTGGACAGTTGTTTGGCAGCTTGGACAGTTGTTTGGCAGCTTGGACAGTTGTTTTGGCAGCCTGGAAAGTTGTTTGGCAGCTTGGACAGTTGTTTGGCAGCTTGGACAGTTGTTTGGCAGCTTGGACAGTTGTTTGGCAGATTGGACAGTTGTTTAGGCAGCTTGGACAGTTGTTTAGGCAGCTTGGACAGTTGTTTGGCAGCCTGGACAGTTGTTTGGCAGCTTGGACAGTTGTTTAGGCAGCTTGGATATTTAGGCAGTTTGGACAGTTATTTAGGCAGTTTGACAGTTATTTAGGCAGTTTGACAGTTATTTGGGCAGTTTAGTATCAATGTCCACTTCTTACAAGCCTGCCTTCAACTTTTATGTATTTTGATGTGGTCAAAATATGTTTGCAGATAACAAAGAAATTTAAAAAAAAAAAAAAAAAATATGCACTCCAAATATTCTATTGTTATATAATTAATATCATACCTTGTTTAAACAGGAAGTGTCTGGCGCTATGTACGAGCCAGCATGTCCCTCTCTGGCTACCTGCCTCCTTTATGTGACCCTGTAGATGGACACTTGTTGTTGGACGGTGGCTATGTCAACAATCTCCCAGGTATTGTTGGGTTATTTAGCTGTAGTCTCCTACCTCTAAAGTTTCAGTAGCTAGTATTATCCCTGTGAGGATTATGGGGTCCTATTTGGTGTGTGTATATGTGGGAGAGGGGAGCTTATAGCCGATGAACAAAGACGCCTGTGCTACAGAGTTTGTGTACTGCGCTGAGATTTTTCGGACTCAGGCTTGAGTTAGAAGTAGAACGGAGCACTTATGGGTTACCAGCCTTGTACCATGATGTTGATCCGTTGTACAAACAAACACACACAAAACAAACAAAAACCTCTAAATATATCAGGATTATAAATTAAGGATGTCCTCTGTGGCCAATTACACATGGGTGGAAGATGTCGAGGTTGGGCCTCTATTAAGATAATGATGTGTTCAAGTGGGACATAAATGATACAGGTATTTAGATCAATTTATGGGGGGGGGGGGAAGGGTGGGTGAGGGAGTGCCATGGATGTGAGTGATAAGTGGAGTGGGGAAATCAGAAAGGGAGTGGGGAAAAGGAAAATAATGATTGCAGATGGATTGAGAACTGAGGGTCTGGGAAGAATAACACTCATGTGATAGCAACAGTGGTCCAGAAATCGCATGCTCTAATTATAGAAGATGTTTCACAGTGCAAGCGGGTCTTGCTGGTCACACTCGGCATCGCCATGGGCTTTGATTTGATTCTCATGCCTACTCTTAGCACAATATAACACTATGATCTAGAAAAAACAGAAAGGTGGCAATGAAAAACGAACCTAGATGGGTTGAACAGCATATGTTTGTTTACATTGCTACTGTTTTGTGATGTCTGATCGCACATGGTATCCTTCTCATCATCATCAAGTACCTTGCCGGCTAGAGTTGGCATTCATGCGTCTTCACAGACCTCGATGTTTCATGTTCTGGATCAATTCCACTGATAATATTCCTTCATATCACTGTCATAAGCCATCCACCATCATTTTATTGGTCTGTCTCTGCCTCTTCTACCAGTGATCTTTCCATGATATACTACAAAACTATTGGGAGTTTAACTTTTACAATTAATTGTTCAAGACTATATACAATATAGTATCTGGCTGTTGTTTGTATGTGTTAACAGAGCCATCAGGGGAAGAAAAGCTTATTATCACTACACCCTACCTGGCATGTCATAAGAGGCAACTAAGGAAAAGGGGTTTGGCGGTTGGCTTCTCATCGGGGGCAACTTTGTGAGGGAGTGAGTGTATTGATGCGCACATTAAAAAAAAAATTCCTCAAGAGTCAGAAAATGAAAGGAGTAGCCTAACAGTACTTGTACCTTAATGTTGATCTGTTGTTTAAACCTAAAACTAAATATGAGAGGAAAAAATAAGAGTAGTAGACTCAGTGGCTCCCTGACAAGTTTGTCATATGAGTCAACTAATTAGGGCTTTCCTTCCAAGTCAGAGTGCATCTGCCTGAGAGACAAAGAACTGCGTATAGAAAAGCCAGATCTGTAAACTAATGTGCATACAAAATGCAAGTTCTGGAACAAGACTTAAGTTTACAAGTAGATGAACAACCAGAACTTTCTGCCAGAGTTTACAGCCGGTGAACAAGAAGAAGAAGAATACTGCTACCAGGCGTCAGTAATTGAATGTGTCTGTTCTGTGTAGCTGATGTGATGCACAGCCTGGGTGCCAAGTTTGTCTTTGCGGTGGATGTGGGCAGTCAGGATGAGACAGACCTCACCAACTACGGGGATTACTTGTCTGGCTGGTGGCTGCTGTGGAAACGATGGAACCCTTGGGCTAAAACTGTCAGGGTAAGACCCAGGTCAGACATTAGTGGGATATTGTTTGGCAAACAGAATCCCTGTGTGGGCTCTAGGGCCACTCCATGTGATTTTTGGGATTCATTGTCAGGAAAGGAAGGGAGAAGAATAAACCCCTTGTTCTCCCCCTTCCTCTTCCTCTTTCCAATTTTTTTTTTTTCAAACATGTTGTAAAAGATGACTAATTAGGAGGGTTTTTCTTCATAGCTTAAATGTATCTGCCTGAGCAGGGAGGAGGGATCAACCCTTTTCATCAAAATAAGCCAGATCTGTCAAATAGATGTGCACACAAAACTCAAGTTCTGTAATAAAATGAAGAGTTTAGAAGTGGACCCAAAAAACACAAACAGCACCAGAAGTTTCTGCCAGAGTTTACAGCTGGTGAAGGCAATTCTGGATTACATACAAAGACAGCAAGTGAAATGGTTTGCCCACTTAGAGAGAATGCCTTGTGACACCATACCATACAAAGCATACATGGAAAGAGAAGAAGGACATAGAGCACGGGGTAGACCAAGAACAAGATGGAAGGATAACATCAGAGAAACTCTACAACAGCACGATGTGCCTATGGTCGAGGCAGCCAGAAGAGCTAGAAACAGAACCTTATATCTCCCTCGACACCCACAGTGGTAAAAGAGGAAGTGAAGGAGAAGAAGAAGAAGAAGAGTGCAAAGTAGAAGGAGGTGAGGGGGGAAAGGAACCCAACACATTATGGGAAGGGAAGTCTATTAACACTGTAACCTACTATTATGTCATCAGAAGGGGTTGACCATCTCAACCCGCAGATGCTAAAAAATTTATGAAAATATTTTTTTATAAAATCCTTTTTTTTTTTTACACTGTTAACTAATTGAATTGTTCAAAAATGTATTTACCTACATTAGTTTTTAAAATGCAGACTATTTATAAGTATATAAAGGGAATGGGCGACTGTCGCTTAGCCTTAGCGAGCAAGCTTAGTAATGTCGGCATGCCGGGTTAGATCCAATCTGTGGACGGTTAGTCTTGCGTTGGTTTTGACAGTGGGTACCGAGAGCTGACCATTCAGAGGCAATGACAAACTACTGAATGTAAAATTTGCTTAGAAAAAAACCACAGCAGCCAAAAAATAGGAAATGCAGGAGTTGATTCTGCAATGTCCTGTAACAAAAAAAAAAAGGCAACTAACTTTAAGTAAAGGAAGTAATCAATTATAAGAACAGAAATGGATGCCTTCCTCTGGACCTAAAACAAGTATATATCAGGTGACATATGACATGACCCCCTGACCTCTGTATCATTGAGGCTTACCGGAAAAGTTTGTCAACTTGGCATTTAAAAACGCTATTGGATTTATAAAAGAAAACACTTTGCATGCTATATTGAGTTTTTATAGTCAGATCCAGGCTTCCAAAACTCTGCAAAGAACCAGTTGCATTTAACTACACTTTTTAAGACTAGGTCACAGAAGAGATGGCGAAAAAACTGGCATTTATGGGGCTGTGTCCCAGCCACAAGTGACCAGATTTAGCTCCTTTTAGGGGGTTCTGGAGCCCAATTGTGAGGGGCAACAAGAATAGACCTACTGCCCCACACAAGAATGTTGTGAGTTGACTAATCAAGGATGTTTTGTTCGAAGTCAGAGTGCATCTGCCTGAGAGGTGAGGAACCAACAGACTGCATAACAATTATCGAAATCTATCAAATGAAAGCTGAGTGTTGCGTGCACATTCGTTTTACAGATCTGGCTTATTTGTATGCAGACTTTTGACTTCTTGCCTCTCATGCAGGTGTGCTCTCTTCGAAGGCTGCCCCCTATTAGTCGACTTTTATGACATGCTTATTGGGCAGGCAGTGGGTCTTCTTGTTTTCCCCACAGTGGGGTCCCAGAACCCACATGGGAGTAAGGAGTGATTTGAAAAGGACAGAATGAAATATGACCTGCATGGCCAATTCTTAACGCTTTAAAAATAAATGTTTTTCGCTCATTCCTTCGTTTTGTCCTGCCTCACTGTCTGCTTTATGCAGCTAGGCATTGCAGCGTAACAGGTGACAGGATACCAGATAAGTCGCGCTCATTTCTGTGATATGCTGTGATGTTTGTGAAGTCTTGGTGACTTCTTCAATCCATTTTCATCTAGGTCTCCCTCTGCATCGTAATGTTTCCACTGTTATGTTGCCTGCTCTTGCAGTCTATATTTTAATGCACAGCTAACATTTAATCCTGGTATATTTTTTTTGTGTTTGCAGGTGCCAGACATGACTGAAATACAGACCAGGTTAGCTTATGTGTCTTGTGTCCGGCAGTTGGAGGTAGTGAAGAACTCTGACTACTGCGAGTACATTAGGCCACCTATTGATAGATTTGCCACTTTACAATTTGGCAGCTATGATGAAATAGCAGTAAGTCAGACGTTTGTTTTCCTTCTTGTAGATTCATCCTCCTGTTGTCCCTCTGTACACATCACATAGAGCTCCTAATCTATTCCTCCTTCCCCAAGAAGAACAAGAACTCCTGCCTGCCCATGAAGTATGTCTTATGAGTCGACTAACTGGGCGCTTCCTTTGAAGTCTGAATGCATCTGACTGAGAGGTAAGGAACTAACAGTCTACATACGGATAAATGAGATATGTAAAACTGATGTGCACACTCAGGTTTGGAAAGGCTAAAGTCCAGAGGTGGATGAAAAATCAGAACTTTCGGCCGGAGTTTGCAGCTGGTGAACTTTAAGAAGAAGAAGTCTATTCCGTCATTTCATTTTGTCCTATACTATTTTATTTGTTTGTTTGAACAGAATAAAGTCCAGCACCATTGGCTTCAATCAGCAACGTTTTTCTTACAGTGACAATCCTTCATAACCTCACTAAAGTTATTTCCCATTTCAGTACCTGTTTTGGCAATTTAGCATGAGAAACAAGTATTTATTTAGATCCAGTATTTTCCAAGCATTTATGGTTACATAAATTCTCCTTAGGTTTCTCTCATTGTATCTTGATTATAAATATCTTCTTTATTACCAAGGGTAAGTCGGTCTAGTTGTGAAAACTAGAAATTGTTTACTCTTTTTTTTTTTATTTTTGTAACCTAGCAACTTATTGTGCATTTATTGGAGTCCACTTTTCTGGTACATTTTCCTAAACTCTTCATGCCACATCCAGTTGTTGCTCAAGCCACAATGTAATGTATGCCTCCATCTTTAAATAAAAAAAATATAGTTTCTCCTTCGATGCTTCTGTCAAAAAAATGTGTACTATTCACAAAATGTCATCCCATCTTGTTCGGCTGCAAGATTTCATGGTGGTTCCCATGGACTATCCTATGATCTAGGGATGTTTTGAGATGCCTTCCTTTGCAGTCTATACACATCATATACATACATACGCATAGCTTTCTTTTTTTGCAACTCTCTTTTCTCTAATGGCTGTTGTTTCTGGAATGTATTGTTGTTTTGAGTAGCTCAGGTACCAAAAGTGCCTGTTTGCAAGGAAGAAATGCTGCAGGGGGGAGTGCCAAAGGCAGGATGGTGGATGTGCTTAAAACATTCACAATGAATACCCTAGAACATAGGACAGCACATGGGAACGGCCATGAATTCTCACATCCGAACAAGATGGGATGACTTTCATGAGTTGTACCTTTGTTAGGGAAATAGGTTTTTCTGTCTGGAGTTTAAAAAATTTAGTAATTCCTATGCCACCAGTGAAAGAACCTGTGTTTTGATGTACGCTAAATCTAACTGTATTTAACAATTTAAATGCACCTCTAATGCTGCTTATGTGGGTAGAACTTATTAACAACTGGAGAAATGGGTTGCTGAACATATTCCACTATAGGTGGTAAAAGCAGTGCAAAACAATAAGGACAACAACTCAACAACAACAAATTTGGTGACTGGTGGGGGGAAAAAAAATCACCTATTAGCACTTGTGTGCCTTATTGTGAATTCTTGGCACATTGAAAACAAGGATGCTGCATTTCAAATTCTTTATACCTCAGCCAACCTCAGATTATTGTGATTCATGGAAGCAGCTGCTTTAAACTGGTTCAGTCCAGAATTATGCACACAAAAAGACATGGTTGTCACCTTGCCTTTACCCTGGTGAAACAGTTACCTTTAAATGTAGTAAATTTTGTGTTTCGGTTTGAAGGATTAATTTTCTTCATTTTAATTAATTGTTAGTGTAGTATGCACCTGATGAGATACAGTGAAATATGCCAGGCAATAAATTGTGCAGTCTCTTGTTTGTGCCTTCTTTGTCCAAATTCACGGTGGGCAAACATTGCTAAGAAATACCAGCTAACCTGCACAGGTGATTACACTAGCGATGTTACCCTAAACCCCCAGACTTAAGACGCTCCTATCCTCCTCCTCCTCCTTTTATCCTTCTGCTTGTGCTGTAAAGCAGGGCTATTCCTCTGGCAGCCTGCAGGCCACATCTGGCCCACAGAGGCCTAGCAAGTGGCCCGCGGATCATTGCCATTTATATGGTATTAATGGTCTGTTGTTGCTGTGGCTCGGGCCTCTTGCCTGTGACAATCTCCAGTTTCAATATTTTGGCCCCTAGGTAAATTTAGTTGAATATCTCTGCCTTTAAGCATCACAGATGGGAGTCAGGTTTAGTTTCCTGTTATTCATGATTCTCACAATTTCTCCCTTGCCCGAAACCACAGATTTTTAGGGTAGCCATTTTGAGTGTTGGGCTAGATAGTGTGCCCTGAGCGTTTCTTTTCTAATTTGATCTTGGTTGACTCCTCTTCTTATTTTGAGCCTTCAATACTCAACAACTACAGAGAGAAACCTAGCCTAAAGAGCAAAGAGTGCAGAGCAAGCTATAGGCAACCACGAGGGACCTGCAACTGGCTTGCATATACGTAGAGGCTGCCCAGTTGACCTGAGCATACAAAGAAGAGGAAGAGTGTGTGCATTTGAACAGTTAGATCCTATAACGGCTTGCTTGTCCTGTCCTTGATTCCTTTCTAGCTGCATGATTTATCAAAACAGTAACACTTTTCAAAACAGGGTTTTCCTCCCCTGTGTGGGTTCCGGGGCCCTATTGTGGGGAAAACAAGAATAGACCCACTGCCTCCCCAAAAGCATGTCGTAAGAGTCGACTAACTGGGGAGCTTCCTTTGAAGTCGGAGTGCATCTGCCTGAGAGGCAAGGAACCAGCAGTCTGCATTCAAGAGAATCAGATCTGTAAAACTGATGCACATGCAACACTCAGGTTCTGGAACAGGACTGCAGTCCAGAAGTGGACGAACAACCAGAACTTTACTCCAGAATGTACAGCTGGTGAACGCAAAGAAGAAGAAGAAGAAAACAGGGTTTCCCATAATGAATTTAAATAATACGGACACAAACAATACGTTCCACAATGTCCTGCCTGACATTTTTCACCATATGTTGTCAGGTGTGTTACTACAGTTACATCAACATATAGTGAAGCACATTAAAAAAAACTGAATAAATTCTACTAAAATACAGATTATGTTTGTCTAATCATCGAAATAGCAACCAGAAACAAAACGTGTCCCTGTCCTACACCGCTATATAAAGTGGTAAATGCAGACATTAAAGATAGTTTTGTGATATGTTTAATCAGGAGACTGGCTACCATCACGGAAAGACTCTTTTCTCTGCCTGGAGCAAGGGAGGACTGCTAGACAAACTGTTCCTGGAGACAGCACCTCCATCCAATGAAGCCAGGGCCCACAAAGACAAGGTTTGTCTATTATCTGTATCTTACCAAGGGCCCGCAAGGACAAGGTTTGTCTGTGTCTTACCAAGGGCCCACAAGGACAAGGTTTGTCTATGTCTTACCAAGGGACCACAAGGACAAGGTTTGTCTATTATCTGTATGTTGCCAGGGCCCACAAGGACAAGGTTAATCTGTGTCTTACCAAGGGCCCACAAGGACAAGGTTTGTCTATTATCTGTATGTTACCAGGGCCCACAAGGACAAGGTTTGTCTGTTGTCTGTATGTTACCAAGGCCCACAAGGACAAGGTTTGTCTGTGTCTTACCAAGGGCCCACAAGGACAAGGTTTGTCTATTATCTGTATGTTACCAGGGCCCACAAGGACAAGGTTTATCTGTGTCTTACCAAGGGCCCACAAGGACAAGGTTTGTCTATTATCTGTATGTTACCAGGGCCCACAAGGACAAGGTTTGTCTGTTGTCTGTATGTTACCAAGGCCCACAAGGACAAGGTTTGTCTGTGTCTTACCAAGGGCCCACAAGGACAAGGTTTGTCTATTATCTGTATGTTACCAGGGCCCACAAGGACAAGGTTTGTCTGTTGTCTGTATATTACCAAGGCCCACAAGGACAAGGTTTATCTGTGTCTTACCAAGGGCCCACAAGGACATGGTCACCTGTTGTCTGTGTGTTACCAGGGCCCACAAGGACAAGGTTTATCTGTGTCTTACCAAGGGCCCACAAGGACAAGGTTTATCTGTGTCTTACCAAGGGCCCACAAGGACATGGTCACCTGTTTGTGTGTTACCAGGGCCCACAAGGACAAGGTTTGTCTGTTGTTTGTGTTACCAGGGCCCATAAGGACAAGGTTTGTCTGTTGTCTGTGTTACCAGGGCCCACAAGGACAAGGTTTGTCTGTTGTCTGTGTTACCATGGCCCACAAGGACATGGTCACATGTTGTCTGTATGTTACCAGGGCCCACAAGGACAAGGTTTATCTGTGTCTTACCAAGGGCCCACAAGGACAAGGTTTATCTGTGTCTTACCAAGGGCCCACAAGGACAAGGTTTATCTGTGTCTTACCAAGGGCCCACAAGGACAAGGTTTGTCTGTGTCTTACCAAGGGCCCACAAGGACATGGTCACCTGTTGTCTGTGTTACCAGGGCCCACAAGGACAAGGTTTGTCTGTTGTCTGTGTTACCAGGGCCCACAAGGACATGGTCGCCTGTTGTCTGTATGTTACCAGGGCCCACAAGGACAAGGTTTGTCTGTTGTCTGTACGTTACCAGGGCCCACAAGGACATGGTCGCCTGTTGTCTGTGTGTTACCAGGGCCCACAAGGACAAGGTTTGTCTGTTGTCTGTGTTACCAGGGCCCACAAGGACATGGTCACCTGTTGTCTGTTTGTTACCAGGGCCCACAAGGACAAGGTTTGTCTGTTGTCTGTGTTACCAAGGGCCCACAAGGACAAGGTTTGTCTGTTGTCTGTGTTACCAGGGCCCACAAGGACATGGTTCCCTGTTGTGTGTATGTTACCAGGGCTCACAAGGACAAGGTTTGTCTGTTGTCTGTGTTACCAGGGCCCACAAGGACAAGGTTTGTCTGTTGTCTGTGTTACCAGGGCCCACAAGGACATGGTCGCCTGTTGTCTGTATGTTACCAGGGCCCACAAGGACATGGTCGTCTGTTGTGTGTATGTTACCAGGGCTCACAAGGACAAGGTTTGTCTGTTGTCTCTGTGTTACCAGGGCTCACAAGGACATGGTCGCCTGTTGTGTGTATGTTACCAGGGCTCACAAGGACAAGGTCGGTCTGTTGTCTGTGTCTTACCAAGGGCCCACAAGGACATGGTCGTCTGTTGTCTGTATGTTACCAGGGCCCACAAGGACATGGTTTGTCTGTGTCTTACAAGGGCCCACATGACCAAGGTTTGTCTGTTGTCTGTGTTACCAGGGCCCACAAAGACATGGTCGGTCTGTTGTCTGTGAGTTACTAGGGCCCACAAGGGCAAGGTTCTCTCTTGCCTCTGTGTTTGTGACTTATCAGTGAGTTAGTGTGGAGAGTGCCTGATTGGGACAGAAAAAGAAACAAACAGTAGAGAAACAAACTGTAGAATAATCGGGCCTTTCAGACAAGACTGAAGGGATTAGGAAATCAAAAATTGACCTTACTGTACTCAGGACATTCCCACAAGGGATCCTTCTTCAGTAGCCAGCTAATAGTCTAATTGTTAATGAGTCTTCCAGTAAGTGTATTGATTGTATATTCTGTTGCACTGTCCATTTGTGAATCACATAAATAAATAAATAAAAGTAGAAATGTTATATATAAATATATATCAGTAAGCAGAAAATGTATTGATCGGCACTCATAGAAAAAAGCAGAAAGATAGGACACACTAGACAACATAAAAATCTAAAGCTATAGTTACCGTACTGGGAATAGAACCTGTCACCTCCAAATGTTGTGTGCGCCTTGCTATGAAAACAGTGTACTAACAACATAACCAAATAGGCATTAAAAATGTATCTTTATTGACTGTTGTACAGCCTGAAATCCACAGCTGTGGAATACAGACAGAATTCATCTCAAACCATGAAATGGCACCACAGGTTACAGACATTTATATTAACCAATCATAAGTACAGTACGTCTATTTGTAAAGTAACTCACTGCCGATAGAAGTGACTGTAGACAGTCTATCAGCCTCTTCACTACCCTGCTCATTTCCGACAGTGGTACAAGAATTGCACTGTGGAAGAAATGTTTAATCCTTTCTCCCGGAGAAGTCTAAATCTAAAATAACGATGGAAGAACTATCCCATAAAATCCGCCTTCGTTGTCTTCCGCTTGATAAATAAGTGTATGATAACTAAGTCCTGTACATTTCTTAATGTTGTCATTCCAGGTTCTTCTTTGCCCTCTTCTTCTTCGACTATCCCCCGTGTTCTTTGCAATTGAATCATATCTCACCACATGCCCGAACCAAGCTAGCTTGCGACGTTTCACCGCTGCCAAGAGGGGCTCTTGATGTTCTGCAAATCTGTATATTTTATCTCTGACCTATTTGTTTTGTGTTCTAAATAATTCGTAAAATGCGTCTGTAACATTTACATTCAAAAGCCTGAATCTTCCTTTCCATTTCCACAGTAAGAGTCCAACTCTTACATCCGTATAAGAAAATAGACAGTACAGTAGTCTAAGGCGGCATCCGTGGCTAAGGCGTTGCGAGTCCGACTCGTAAGCCAGCATACCGCGATCGAAACCCACTGCAGGCTGCGTGGATTTTTGTCATGGTATGGGGACGTCGCAGGTCGACCCAGCCTAAAATGGGTACCAGGATGGGCTGTCCTGGGAAAGTAAAGACAGCCGGCGTAATCCTGACCACATTACCCACAGAGTGCTGATGGTCTGTAAAAATATGGGACGCTCTGCCCATATGCCCGATGCGCCCAAAGGCGTGAAAAGGGATCTTTACTTTTTTTTTTTTTTTTTTTACAATAGTCTAAATCTAGTCGCTTCCAGTTGTGCTACTTCCTGGTAAATACCAGTAAATGGTCACGTCTGCAGTGACCTGCTCTCAAAAAGTAAAGTAAAGGACCCTTTTCCACTCCTTTAGGCGTATAGGGCATCATAGGGCTAGACCTATATTTTTAAAAACCAATCGGCACAAGATGGGTGATGTGGTCAGTATCATGCCGGCCGCCTCTACTTCCTGGGACTGCACCCGGTACCCACTCAAGGCTGGGTCGACCTGGGAGCCAAGGTCATTTCTGAAGATAGTCCGGCTCCGATAGGGAGCGAACCTACGACCTTCCGATCCGCGGCGAGCGTCTAGCTGCTCCGCCACGGTGACTCCCTACACTCACAAAAGCGTAGTTAAATTCCTTTTGTCATATGCTGCCTGCACGGGGTTTAATAGGCCCCGATGATTCATATGGTAACTAAAAAGTAGCATTTATAGAGGTTTCCTTATAACCTCAATGGTTTTTTGAAAGCCAAGTTGATGTCCAGTTTTCCCCCATAAGCCCCAGTGATAGAGGTCATGGCATGAATCACCTGACATGGGGGTTTTTGGAATGCTCCAGAGAATGGTATTCCATTCAATTCTTCACTCTGTTTGTGTTTATTGATTACCTTTGATGTCTTTATATATTTGAAGGAAATGTTGTTTTACGCCTTAGAACAGGACGCAGTCAACTTCGCAGCCACATGTACACAAAATTTAAGATCGGCAAATCAGCCATGTGCACATGACTGGCAGCTGAGACAACAGATCATGTCCTCCAAGACTGTCCCAAATACAACATATTAAGGCAGTACTTTTGGCCAAGAGAAACATTGGTGCTAGTCAAACTTTACGGGTCATTGAGTGGATTACAAGACAGTGAAGTTCATACTAAAGACAACATTGCAGATATAGATAATCTATTTCAAGCGAACGAAAGAAAAAGAAGAAGATTTGGAGAAAAAATTTCACATGTAGATAGACACATTTTTTTTAAATGTATTAGTGACCTGTATACTATGTTAGTTTTCTTATTCTGGATTTTCCTACAGTTCATGACCACTTTTTTTTTAAAGCATTGACAAGGCAAAAGGATCAATGTATCATGCATGTTGTAAGACCAACAGAGTCATTGGAATGGCACTGGACATCTTGTAGAATATGTAGCTGCACAATCTTCCCTGTGTGAGGCACAGAGAAAACATAGGGGGGGGGGGGGCACACACACACAGGGGGGCCTTGGGGGATTCTCGCGCGGGCCGCACACACACACACTCACATGCACACACACAGGCGCATGCACACACACACGCACACACACAGGCATGCACACACACACGCATGCATGCGCATGCACACACACACACGTGCGCACGTACACATGTACATGCACACAAACACACACAAGAAGGGGGTGTGTGTCCTCAAGGGGCATAACACTAGTTTAAGAGCATAATAATAATAGTGTGCTGAATGGATATATATATATATATTTGAAATGAAATCAATGCAGTCAAAACTCTTACAATGCAGAGAAATAGAAACCAGATGTCAGAAAGCCAGTGCACTATATACTAGTTGTCACCATTATTAACTCTTTCAGTCCCAGGGGGCTAAGCATCAGGGTTAGTCATGCAATTATGAAATGTCACAAGTGTAGCACATTAAAACAGATCTTAAAATTAACTGCACAACATACACATACACAAAGGGACTAGGGATTAATGAATATGCTTTTAACCACATTTATGAATAAACGTAATGATCCCTACATGTGATCTGGGCACAAAGAACAGGAAAGACCATTCAGAACTGCCAATTCGCATTTTTACAACTGGTCACTGGTGAATTAAATACCTGTACACGTCATGCATCAATTGGGCCGCTGGGATTTCAGAGGGTTAAGACATCCAAACAAAACTATGAGTGCAGAGAGACAGATTACAAACAGCATGTTCATCCCAACATTAAGCTACCAGTGCCAGACATGGACACTTTCAAATCACCAGCTTGCAAGATGAGATGCCTAGAAAAGCAAACCATTTGAGATTGTGTGAATAATGATTCTATCAGACAAATTGTGGGACATCCATAAACGGCAGATCTTGTGGTTTGGCCATCTCGTTAGAATGCAGCAAGATCAAATACGATCACAGACACTACATCTCAGAAGATCAGCTACAAGAGCAAGAAGACGGCCACAGTATATAGATCGACAACATCAAAGACACTGCGCCTTCACAGCATGACAAATTATTCCTTTCCATGTCGCTTGACGGCAGAAGTGGTTTATGATGATGAGGAAACATTTGAAGAGGATTTCTCAACCTTCTTGGCCTCCTTAGAGACAAAGGTGGGGGCTTGAGCCTCCAGGTTCCGGTGCCCATGCTTGTCTGATAATAATTCTGTGTTTGAGTTTTATTTTCTCAGAGATAGTGAGTGACATGGAGAGAGGGGAGGGGGGGAGAGAGAGGGGGAAGGGAGGGGGGGAAGGGAAATAGGGGAAAGGGGGAGGGAAATGAGAAGGGAAAAGGGGGGAGGGGGAAAAAAAGGGAAACTGGGAGAATGGGGGGGGGGGGTGGGAATGGGGGGGGGGGGGGTGGGAATGGGAGAAGGGAGAGGGAAATGGGTGAAAGGGGGGGAAAACGTGGAGGCGGGGAAAGGGAGGAGGGAGGAAAAATGGGGGGAAGGAGGGAGGAAAAGGGGGAGGGGGAAAGGGAGGAGGGAGTGGGGAAAGGGAAACGGGGGGGGGGGAAAGGGAGGAGGGAGGGAAACGGGCAGGGGGGGAAGGGAGGGAGGGAAACGGGCAGGAGGGGGGGGGGGGGGGAAAGGGAGGGAAACGGGCAGGAGGGAGGGGGGGAAAGGGAGGGAAACGGGCAGGAGGGAGGGGGGGAAACGGGCAGGAGGGAGGGGGGGAATGGGAGGGAAACGGGCAGCAGGGGAGGGGGGGGGAAAGGGAGGGAAACGGGAAGGAGGGAGGGGGAAGAAGGAGGGAAACGGGCAGGAGGGAGGGAAGGGAAACGGGCAGGAGGGAGGGGAAGAGAAGGGAGGAAAAAGGGCAGCAAGAAAGAAGGGGGGAAGAAGAGGGAGGGAGAACGGGCAGGAAGGGGGGGGGGAAGAAAGGGAGGGAAACGGGCAGGAGGGGGGGAGAAAGGGAGGGAAAACGGGAAGGAGAAGGGGGGGGGGAAAGAAGAGGGAAACGGGCAGGAAGAAGAATAGTGGAAAGGGAGAACAAGAAAAACGGGCAGGAAGAAGGGGGGGTGGAAAGAAGGGAAACGGGCAGGAGGGAAGGGGGGTGGAAAAGGGAGGGAAAGGGCAGGAGGGGGGGAAGAACGGGCAGGAGGGGGGAAGGGCAGGGGAAGGAAAGGGAGGGAAACGGGCAGGAGGGGGGAGGGAAACGGGCAGGAAGGAGGGAAGGGAGGGAAACGGGCTGGGGGAGGAAGAGGAGGGAAACGGGCTGGGGAAGGAAAGGAGGGAAACGGGAAGGGGAGGAAGGGAGGGAAACGGGCTGGGGGAGGAAGGGGGGAAACGGGCTGGGGTGCGGAAGGGAGGGAAACGGGCAGGGGAGGAAGGGAGGGAAACGGGCAGGGGGAGGGAAACGGGCAGAAGGGAGGGGGGGAAGGGAGGGAAACGGGCAGAGGGGGGGGGGGGAAGAAGGGGAAACGGGCAGAGGGGGGGAGAGGGAAACGGGCAGAGGGGGGGGGAGGAAAGGGAGGGAAACGGGCAAAGGGGGGGAAAAGGGAAGGGAAACGGGCAAAGGGGGGGGGGGGGGAAGGGAGGGAAAAGGGCAGAGGGGGGAAAAAACGGGCAGGGGAAAGAAGGGAGGGAAACGGGCAAGGGGGGAAGGGAGAAGAAACGGGGCAGGGGGGAAAGGGAGGGAAACGGGCAGGGGGGAAAAGAAGGAGATAGAAACGGGCCGGGGGAAAAGGGAGGGAAACGGGCCGGGGGGAAAGGGAGGGAACGACGCCGGGGGGAAAGGGAGGGAAACGGGAAGGGGGGAAAGGGAGGGAAGACGGGCCGGGGGGAAAAGAGGAGGAAAACGGGCCGGGGGGAAGAGGGAGGGAAACGGGCCGGGGGGAAAGGGAGGGAGAACGGGCCGGGGGGAAAGGGAGGGAAACGGGCCGGGGGGAAAAGAGAGGGAAACGGGCCGGGGGGAAGAGGGAGGGAAACGGGCCGGGGGGAAAGGGAGGGAAACGGGCGGGGGGAAAAGAAGAGGGAAACGGGCCGGGGGAAAAGGGAGGAAAACGGGCCGGGGGGAAAGGGAGGGAAACGGGCCCGGGGGCGAAAGGAAGGGAAACGGGCAGGGAGGAAGAGGGAGGGAAAGGGCAAGGAGGGAAACGGGCAGGGGGGAAAGGAAGGGAAACGGGCAGGGGGGAAAGGGAGGGAAAGGGCAGGGGGGAAAAGGAGGAAACGGGAAGAAGGGGGAAAAGGAGGGAAGACGGGCAGGGGGGAAAGGGAGAGAAAAAAGGGCAAGGGGGAGAGGGAGGGAAAAGCAGAAGGGGAAAGGGAGGGAAACGGGCAGAAGGGGAAGAAGAGGAAAACGAGCAGGGGGGAGGAAACGGGCAGGGGGGGAAAGAAGAGGGAAACGGGAAGAGAGAAGAAGAGGAAGACGGGGCAGGAAGGAGGGGGGGAAGGGAGGGAAAAGGGCAGGAGGGAGGGGTGGGAAGAGAAGAAGGAAACGGGCAGGAGGGAGGGGGAAGAAGAGGAAAAACAGGCAGAGGGGGGGGGAAAGGGAGGGAAACGGGCAGGGGGGAAAGGGAGGGAAACGGGCAGGGGGGAAAGGGAGGGAAACGGGCAGGGGGGAAAGGGAGGGAAACGGGCAGGGGGGAAAGGGAGGGAAACGGGCAGGGGGGAAAGGGAGGGAAACGGGCAGGGGGGAAAGGGAGGGATACGGGCAGGGGGAAAGGAGGGATACGGGCATGGGGGAAAGGGAGGGATACGGGCAGGGGGGGAAAGGGAGGGATACGGGCAGGGGGGAAAGGGAGGGATACGGGCAGGGGGGAAGGGAGGGATACGGGCAGGGGGGAAAGGGAGGGAGAAAAACGGGCAGGGGGGGGAGGGAGAAAAACGGGCAGGGGGGGGAAGGGAAATGGGCAGGGGGGGGGAGAAGGGAAGGGAGGGGAACGGGCAGGGGGGATGAAACGGGGAAAGGGAGGGGGATGACACACACTGGATCACAAATTATTACTTCCCATGCCGCTTGATGGCAGAAGTGGTTTATGATGATGAAGAAACATTTGAACATATATTCTTTTGAAGAGAATTTCTCAAGCTTCTTGGCCTCCTTAGAGACCAAGGTGGACTTGAGCCTCCAGGTTCTGGTGCCCATGCTTGTCTGATAATGATTCTGTGTTTAAGCTTCATTTTCTCTTAGAACGAGTGAGTGACAGGGAGAGAGATTGAGAGGGGGGAAGGGAGAGGGAGAGGCGGGGGAAGAGAGAGAGGATAAAGGTAAGGGGAAGACAGGTAGAGATAGAGTGAAAGTCTAAAAGATAATGGGGATGGTGAGAATGAATAAGCAAGAGTGAGTGCGCATGAGTGAGGAATAGTGAGTAATTGAGAGAGATCGTGAGAATGAGTGAGAGAGAGAAAGCTCGGAAATAAATTCAAAGGAGAAGGAGAAAGGCTGATTTTTTTTTTTTCATTAATTCTTTGTTTTGTGTTGTACTTTTCAGAGTCATGTGCCAGTGATGGCTTACTTTACAGACTTGGCAGAACAGGTTTCCAAAATTGAAAAGCCAAAGAGCAAGTTCTATTTGCCTGTTGGAGGTTAGTAAATACTGATGTTTATTTATTATATCTGAAACGTGGGAACCGCCTTAACTCTTATGGGTTCCCTGTCATCCTCATTGTGATAGTAATTATCCATTGAACGTAAACATTTGTTAATGCTCATTTTCTTTTTAATTCCAAAACTGTAACAGTTAAATTTAACTTTTCATGTCTGAATGACCTTTCTTTGTCTGAATTAGATTCTGATGAAGAAGTCATTGATGAAAATGATGAATTTGACCCAGCCATGACCATGGAGGGATATGAAGAGGATGATGAGTTTGCTTGCAGTGATGGGGACGAGGATGTCAGCGAAGGCAGGGAGGACCAGGCCGGGGGTAAACGCAAGGTGACCTCTTTAGTTTTACTGTCACTCAATCTGTTGGCTCTCATATGTATAGAGTCAGCGCCAAAAGATCTGTATATACTGTAAGCACCCAGCAATGAAATGCATAAACATTTTCAGAGGCTATTTGTTTTTAAAATGTCATCATTAGGTGACATATTCCGCCATATTTATATCAAGTTACAGTAGCTATGTGTTGTATTCTGGTTACGAAAACTGCCTGGAGCTTAATAGGAGTAACTCGAATCACCTGTAGTTACTTCATTGAACACGTGTAACTTGTATGCATTTCTTCTTGTATGAATAAATTTACATGCAGTATATCACTTCTGTGGGAGTCACCATGGCCGAGTGGCTAGACACTCGCCGTGGATCGGAAGGTCGTGGGTTCGCTCCCTGGCGGAGCCTGACTTTTTTCAAAAATGACCTTGGCTCCCATGTCCACCCAGCCTTGAGTGGGTCCTGGGTGCTGTCCCGGGAAAGTAAAGGCGGGCGGCGTGATGCTGAACACATCACCCATCTTGTGCTGACTGGTCTATAAAAATATAGGTCTAGCCCTATAATGCCCTATATGCCTAAAGGCGTTTAAAGGGTCCTTTACTTTACTTACTTACTTATATCATTTCTGTAATGTATTCAAAGACCACAAATATCGTACGTATAGATACATTTCGTTGCTGGACCATCACTGTGTATACATTTATTGTGTTCGTGACTACCTCTGGGGGGGGGGGGTTACCCACTGTCCCCTTAAAAGCATGTTATAAGTACATCTGCATCAGAGGGCAAAGAGCCAACAACCTGCACACAAATAAGACAGATCTGTAAAATTCCCACCCCCAACAGGCATGTCGTATGAGGCAGGGATGTTTCCTTTGGAGTTGGAATGTTGGAACCAACAGTCTGCAAATAAATAAGGCAGATCTGTGAATAAGATGTGCACACAAAACTCATTCTCTAACGGCACCAAAATCCAGAAATGGACAAACAACCACAACTTTCAGCTGCAGTAAATCAAAGAATAAGAAGATGTCATTAAAAAAAAAAAAATATTTAACCAAGACAAAGTGAACCAAAAAAGTTCAGCAGAACTTATCAAGTTGTGAATGCTTGCAGATATTGGTCCCATAGTGAACTCTGTATATTTAAGAGGTTATATCAAATATATTTGACTGTTCCCTGTCTTTTAGGTTACAAAATCAACCCAGGCACTGAGGAAAGCCTCAACGTCGACCAGCAACCAGACACAGTGATCACAACTGGTCATAATTAGTGACCCTCAAGTGTCCACACAAATGTATCATATTTTTTAAACACTCAGTACATGTACAAAACATGCCGTTTATAGTTGCCTCTTTCTCAAGCCTGCCACACAGAGAAAGCTGGTTTTCCTACTTTTACAGGTTTTGAGGACATGACGTTTATGGGCAGTAACCAGTATATCTGTTTAACAGCTTTGATACCAGCTGACTGACTGACTGACTTTCTACCCCACCAGGACATCACACAAGCGATAAACACCTGATGACACAAAGTTTGATACCAGCTTAAATAGCATAGGGTTCTGAGATGGTGGACATAATGTTATTTACTAAAACAGAACTAAATTTTTTGGGGTTAACAAAATTTGGGGGGGGGGGGGGGGGGGGGGGGGGGGTTTGGGTCATTGTGATGTCATAATAAAGTTCTGATGATGTCATGTTGTTCTCTGTTTTTGTGTTTTTTAAAAAAATGTGTGTTTTTTTGGGTCACAGGGAAGAAAAGCAGTTATTTCTTTGCTCTATTTGTATTTAGTGATTACTTCCCTTCCTATAATAAAATATAACCTTTGCATAAAATAGTAGGAACATACACAAATCTGGGCTTCATACTCATGGCAAGAGAAGTGTTCAAATAATTACGTCTGGTCATAAATAAGTTCACAGTGACACACTTGGTTATATGTTCACAGTAAGATGATTTGGACACATCAGCGTAAAGTCAGATACGCACATAAGTTCACAAATAACACACTTGGTTGTGTATTCACCAAAGAAACACATAAAAAACGCTTGATTATATGCTCATAAATAACATACTTGGACATAGCTCACAATGTCGCTTAACCGTATGTTCAGGTTTGTTCACTTTATAATATGTTGACAGTAACACATATGGACATATGTTCACAGGAACATACTTAGCTATATGTTTACAAGCTATATGTTTACAATAACATATATATGGACAAAATTTCACAAAAACACACATGGACATATGTTCACCGTCACATTTAATCATATATTCAAAACAACGTATTTATGGAGATACTTTCACAGTAACACATATGGACATGTGTTCTCAGTAACACACATCAACATATGTTCACAGTGACACACTTGATCATATATTCTCAAAAACACAAATTGACATGTGTTCACAATAACACACATGGACATATGTTTTCAATAACACACATTGACATATGTTCACAGTGATACACATGACTCATCTGGTCATATGTTCTCAATAATATTTTATATGTGGTATGCCTTTTGCACCACCGTTGTATGGTTTTGATGATTTCCAGTTGGTGCTGTTTTGTATTTAGTACACATTTATTGATGTCTATGTTGTAACCATGGCCTGAAATCTTCATTTGGTATTTGAACCTGGTTCAGTAATTGGGAACTACTACTACTTCTGTGTTCATCAGTAATTGGGAACTACTACTACTTCTGTGTTCATCAGTAATTGGGAACTACTACTACTTCTCTTTTCATCAGTAATTGGGAACTACTACTACTTCTGTGTTCATCAGTAATTGGGAACTACTACTACTTCTGTGTTCATCAGTAATTGGGAACTACTACTACTTCTGTGTTCATCAGTAATTGGGAACTACTACTACTTCTGTGTTCATCAGTAGTTGGGAACTACTACTACTTCTCTGTGTTCATCAGTAATTGGGAACTACTACTACTTCTGTGTTCATCAGTAATTGAGAACTACTACTACGTCTTTGTTCATCAGTAATTGGGAACAATAACAGGACCCCCCCCCCCCTCGAACTACAGGTTATGTCATAACCGGTGTTTCTGCCGCAGTTGAACTGTCTTATATGGCTGCATAAATTAACCCGGTTTCCATAATTTGTAGCTGTTTGATTATTATCCTTAAGATATTAGACATGTAAACTAAAATCCTGGGAAAAGGGGGGGGGGGGGGGGGGGGGGGGGGGTAACTACAACTACAATTGGGAACAAAGATCTGTTGCTAAAACCAAGGTGCATCATTAAAACCAGGATCTGAAATTGTAAAACAGTATATTTGTACATTGAAGAACCGCAGGATACAAGATTAGGGTCACCCATTTTGTGTGTGTGTGTGTGTGCGTGTGCTCCAGAACACGAGCAAAATCCAGGTTGCGAGCTGGAGACAGGCCAGAACACAGCTTTAACTCACTTTGAAATGGATAGGTCACGTGCACTTTGCTGAAGGAGGACTTAACCAGTCAACAGGGCACTTGATGATGATGGACTGTAGCATCAAGGTCAAGAAGTAGCCTCATTCTCTGCGGCCCAAAAAACACCAAAAAAACACCCAAAAAAAGCAGAGCTCCTCATTTTCTCCGTTAACAGAATGAAAAAAGTTCATGTGTTTCGTTTTTAAGAGCGCTGAGACAAATAAAAATTATTTGCAGTAATTTTAATGGGGAGAAAAAAAGTTTCAAGATTTGAGTTATTTACCATGCAAACTCAGTTATAAAAGTATAGGACCCTTTTCCACACCTTTCAGGCATATTGGGTATATAGGGCTGTAGTCCCTATTTTATAGATCAGATGGCAGTTGGGGAGTGATGTGGTCAGCGTCACGCTGGCCACCTGGTACCTCCTGAAGGCTGGGTCGACCTGGGAGCCAAGGCCATTTTTTTGTTTTAAAGTCCAGCCCCGGTCAGGAAGCGAACCCACAGCCTTCAGATCCCCAGGTGAGTGCCTAGCCGCTAGACCACAGCGACTCCTAAACTCAGTTATGGAATGGATTAAATCTCTGTCCTGTGTGGTTTCACTGTTTATGCTATTGTTTATTTGCAAAGTTGGTTTATTCAATAGCTTTAAATGGCATAAAATCTGTTAATTATTTTTTCCAGTTGTCACATTAGAACCTTCGTGATGAAATATATTATAGAAAGCGTACAGCTTCGGTTGTATACTTGAATGTCTTTATTGCCAATTCCTGTGGCTATGGCCTACTGGTTAGTGGATGCATTTCACAGTCTCATGATTCTTGAATACAAGGGCTTGACTTCTTTAATGAACACATCTTTTCATCTGGTGTCTCGGCCATTGTTTTGTGTATTTTAATGACCTCATACATGTGGTTAGAGTTTACTGAGAAACCATGTTTTCTCTGACGGACACGTCTGCTGTATATTTAAACCACTTTGAATGGAAAAGAAAACGTACTTGTATTTGTTTCATCCCAGGTATTTCCTAATTTACACATCATCTGTAACACTCTTTGGGTCTTCTTCTTCTCCTCCTTCTTCTCCTCCTTCTCCTTCTCCTCCTCCTCCTCTTTTTCCTCTTTCTCCAGTTACCTCATTGAAATATTTGGTTTGGGTCAGGAAAATCTTCTGTTTGCTCTTTGAAATTTGTTACACGAGTTGATCTTCATTTCTGCAGCCTGCCTTTGATGATGTTGTCTCTGGGACACTGAACTAATTAATGTGTTCCTAATTGTTTCCATGCTCTGTTTGAGTAGTATCTCATCATCATCATCATGTAGCAGTCCTTTGCAGAACGTCGCTCTCCTCACATTCTGCCTGAAAGAAACTCGGTCTCTCGCCAGCTCTCCCGCCTCATGTACTTTCACACTCAAGTAGACACTTATGAGTAGTATCTACTGGCTTAATTAACTCTTGAGACTGTGCAGGCTCACAAATGTCTCCACCTTACCTTGTGGGGGATAACAAGATTTTCAATGAAACTCATGAATTCAATGGGACCAATTAAAAATAACATAATTTTATGTGATGTTTTCTGGGGGAAAAAAAAAAAAAGATTTTCTCAGCATTCTTATCATTCCAAGTATGTGTGTGTGCATGT